AATACTCTCACTCTCTAATTTGGGTCATTATGGTTTTTTTCTTTTTTTTTTTAATTGGGGCATTATGATTTGCTCAAAATTTCCTACCACCATTCAAGCCTACCTGACAGGGGTAGAGGCTAGATAATTTATTTTCCATTGCTCATTTTGAATATCTTGAGAGCTCTCACAGCCGTGATTATAAATGTAAATTTCTAGATTGTAAATGTTGGGCTCTGTAAGATAACATTTGTCCTTTCTCCCTTGCCACAGGAGCTTAAGTTTATCAGGTTACACCCATCACAGTGCTCCTGAGTCACTCCCATTTCTCTGTTTATCTATAAACTCTTCTCTTTGCTCTCCTCCACAGCCAGTTAAACACCTTTTCTCCCTAATCAGATTCTGTTAGCTTGTAAGATCAGATCCTTCTAAGGAAACTGAACTTGTAAGTTATGTCTTTTGCATAGTTTACCTTAAAGCAATGTCCTTTTGGTCTGGACACAGGAAACAGTTGCTTTGTAGCTTGGAAGTTGATTGACTCCGAATAGTATTTACTCCTGGGCATCTGCTTTCTTGACTCAGTTGCCCTTAGTTCCTAGCACCCCAAAAGCAGGGTCCCAGCGAGGGACTGAATGGACCCAGGGCAAGTTGTGAGCTACCCTGCCATCAAAATGGGCCAGGCCAGAGCACTATACTCAACTATAAGTTGAGGACATGATCATGGACAAATGCTGTAATGATCCAAAAGTAAGTAACGATGAGAGTAGGACCCTGCTGGGGCTAGGAAATCTAACCTGGCCTGAGGACTGCAGAATGTTTAGTGAGATGTCCTCAGGAAGAACCAAACTGTAAGTTTATATCTCTTACTGTGCTCATACAGAATGACATTGCTGGAAATATTAGAAGTAGATTTACTACAACTATTTAAGTGGATTACTAGCTGAGGAAAGTACACCCTTGTTGGGATCCCACCCTAGAGCAGATCTCCTAATAATCTGGAGTAATCTCTTTAGATGAGATTTTATCCTTGAGTTAATATCCTGGAGGAGTGGTCTTACCTCTCTTTGTTGATTTGTATATGTTCAACCCACCTTTGTGTGACCACCCTACGTGACGGATATATAAACTAAGACTGTAAGATAGGAGTGGGCTCGGGCTCCAGAGGGCAGAGTCAGAAGTGAGTGGGGCTGGGGCTTGAGAGAGAGAGAGAGAGAGAGAGAGAGAGAGGGAGAGAGAGAGAGAGAAGCAGAAGGGGAGTGAAGATTGGAATAAACTACTATTGATACCGACCAGGCTGACCCTCGTTCCTTCCTTCACCTGCCAATCGCCATAGACCTCCCCCAGGGTGGGGGAAACAGTGTGAGACTACTGAAGGTGTGAGACTATTGGGCAGCGGGAGAGATAGTGCTGCCGGTCTTTTGAAAACACACAGGGTTCCAGAGACATCTCTGTATGACACTAATTCATCTTGGGATTCAATTGGGAGTCTCTGGGCCAGGGCTGTTGGTGCGCTAAAATGGCACATTGTGGGTGTGACAGCCAGTCTGCTGGGTGGGTGGGGACCCGGGCTGTCCCTCTGCTGCCATGCTGCCTGGAGATTCAGTCCTGGAACCCGCATACTAGGCCTTGCTTGTGGAAGCTCTTGGTCACTAAGATTCCATCTGGAGTAGGCGGGGAGACTGCTCCACCTGGGGTGCCCCAGTGAAATTGGCCCAGTATGGAGCCCAGAGAGATCTCCAGTGCTGTGTGTCTTCCAGGACTTGCTGCTCTCTGGGCCAGGACTGTTTGTGCACAAAGATGGCACCCGAAGGCAAATTGGGGCATGACAGCCAGTCTGCTGGGTGGGTGGGGGTCCAGGGAGGGACAGTCCGGGTTCTCTGCCACCATGTGACCTGGAGATTCAGTCCTGGAACCCGCATACCTAGTCCTTGCTTGTGGAAGCTCTTAGTCTCCGATATTCCATCTGGAGTAGGTGGGGAGAGTGCATCTGCTCCATCTAGACCCATGACTTTAAGTCCATTTTCAGGAAAAGAAGGTTCAGGAAGCTAGAGGGGCTAGGACTTTTAGTGTCCAGCAATGTGCATGCCAGACTCTCTTCCATGCACTTTTGCTGCGTTCCTTGATGTTTGGGGGGAAAGGGAGGTGTAGGGTAGGGTGGAGTTTGGTGCTCTGTAAAAACTGTATCTTACATGCGTGCGGGGGAGGGATGCAAAGATGATAATGTGTTGTTGGCAGGTTCTCAGGGCAGCTCTCTCTCACTGCCCGCATTTGGTGCTCTCGAGCTGCAGTGTATGGACCGGATCAGGATGGCTCCTCTTTTACACTTTGCTTCTGTGCATGCTACTGTGCTCTCTTCTGTCTATTTCTGATTCTATGTAGTCTCTCCTCTGGTCTCTTCTGCTTCTCTCTCTGGAGCCCTTCACTCTGGATTCTGACTCTGCCTCTAAATTCTGACTCTGCACTCTGGATTCTGATTCTGCTCTCTGGATTCTGAATCTGGCCCCTACAGTCTTAGTTTATATAGCAGTCACATAGGGTGGCGACACAAAGGTGGGTTGAACGTTAATAAATCAACAAAAAGAGGTAAGACCACTCCTCCAGGAGATTAACTCAAGGATAAAATCTCATCTGAAGAGATTATTCTGGATTACTAGGAGATCTGCTTAAGGGCGGGATCCCATTCAGGGTGTGTGGCTTTCTTCTTTCCCCAGCTAGTAATCCACTTAAATAGTTATAGTAAATCTAGTTCTAATATTTCTAGCAATGTCATTCTGTATGATAAGAGATATATCAATTTAAAGTTTGCTTCTTCCTGAGGACGTCTTACCACAACCCTCAGGCCAGGTTAATCTCCCTAACCCCAGCAGGGTCCTAGTCTCATTACTTTTGGATCACAACAGCATTTGTCTATGATCATGCTCTCAACTTATAGTTGAGTATTGTGGCTCTTTGGCCTGGCCCATTTCGATGCCAGGGTAGCTCACAACTTGCCCTGGGTCCATTCAGTCCCTCATCGGGACCTTGCTTTTGGGGTGCTAGGAACTAAGGGCAACTGTTGAGAGCAGATGCCCAGGAGTAAATATTATTGGAGTCAATCAACTCCCAAGTTACAAAGCATAATATTAACTGTCTTCCTGTGTCCATACAGAAAGGACATTGCTTTCAAGTAAAGCAATTACAGAAAGGACATTGCTCTAAATTCCCTGTGGCAAGGGTGAAAGGACAAACCCATTGTTATCCTACAGTGCTCGGGGGTGGTTCTCTTCCCTTGTACTCTGGAGTGATGCCTGGCTGTGCTAGGAGGACCATGTGGTGCTGGGGATTGAACTGGGGTCAGCTGCATACAAGGCAAGTGCCTACTACCCCCAGGGCCTGCCCCCTTCCCATTAGGAGGGATCGGTGGACCATAAGCAGAAGGGGCAATCCTTTTCTTTCCCTATTTTTCTGAGTAAACGTAGACTTAATGGGCAAGGGTGGGACTGAATCCACTGTGTGCAGGGCCTACTCTGGGCTATGTGCTCAGACTAGCATATGTGGTACTGGGAATTGAACCAAATATAGCCATGGTAAGGCAAGCACCCACACCACTGAACTCTCTCTGTGGCCCTTTTCTGGGTGAATGGAGAACACTGACGGTCTAAGGGCAGCTGGATGACAGACTGAAGGCTGGGTCTCTGCAGAGGCTAAATGGAGTAGCCACTTCCCTCAAGAAATTTTCCTGAGTTTAGTTACCCCCTTGGGAGGTAACAATATGAGAACTGTCTGTTAAGTGATTCTTCTCACACACCAACCATGTTGGACCCCAGGGGCTGCTGCTTTGCTTCTCGGCACCCTTCTCAGAGGCAAGGAAGAGTCTTATGGCCTCACACCTCTACATTCAAATGCTAAAGAGGAACCTACATTCTAGTGGATTTCCCCCCCTCTGCTCTTTAGCATACTCTTCCCTGGAGGAGAAAGTCCTCACTGGATAATTTTGGTGGAAGTGGGAGTCCCAGGATCAGTTTCTCCTTCATTCCCCCTCAAAAATGAGAGCCCGGACCCAGGACGTCAAATTTTCTGGCATAATGGTGAGAGCTGGCTCTTGCTGTGCTAAGCAAAGGAAGCCAAACAGAAAGGATGCTGAAGGATGCAGCTTTAAAGCACCAAAGGAGCTGGCTGCAGTCCTGGAGCTGGTCCTTCCACTGGACCAAGTGTGACTCCCAGACTGAATGGAACCTGCAAGGGCTTAAGTATCTGCCCAATAAGCTTCTTTCTGCTTCCACCAGCCATGTCCATTTCTCTTGCTTATCCTGGGTTCCCCATGTAAGTACACTGCACTTGACTCTGAGGCCCTACCCTTACCTGGAATCTTGACAATTTCCTACTTTTCCTTCGTGTTTTTATGCAAGATTGATCACCCCTATATGTAGTTCGATGATTCTTTTTTCTCTAGTTCCATGTGTACAGGCTTCCATTTCTTGGGAAATAGAATGTTTCTATTTTGTCTTGTTGGATAAGCCATGACAAGTAGGGAGTGTTGAGAATCCTATCACCATTTAGTTACGTAGGAAAAAATGTGAATTTGCCCCAAAACCCCGCAAAAGAACATAATAAATTGGACAAAACAGGAACATTCTATTTTAGGGTAGCAGGGGGAAACTCCATCTATTGTACTGCCCCAATTATACTTCACTGGAATTGGTGATAAGTTTGTCCTTCTTACTAGATTATAAACCCTCTTGAGGACAGTGCCTTTCAAGTCTCTCTGTATTATAGTATTATGGCCTCTGAGATACTCCTTGGTACACAGCAGATGCTCTGAAAATGTTTGCTGACTGACAGAGAATGTGACCTGATGCCTGTGAAGTTGTCATAATCTGCAGAAGAAGCATTTCTAGACAAGTACAATAAAGACTACAACATTCCAGTCCCATACTACCAAAGGTGGCTTAAAAAATGAATGCTGAGTGCAGAGCTAGGAGTAAGATGTGGCGTGAAACACAAAGAAACAGACCCAAAAAAACGGACACTGACTACCTTGAAATAATTTTTAAAGTTTTCAAATTGAATTAGTGCAAACAATACATAGTTGAGCAATAGAAGAATGAAAATATATATTTACGGTATTTCATTAAATTGCTATTACAAAACAAGACCACGCTGAGAAAAACCTCAAAAGTAGAAGTAAACATTTAGGTAAAAGTCAGATAAATCACATGGTAAGAGATATTAAACATTCTAAATAAACGGAGTTTCCTAAATCCAGATTTGAGACATTGAGATTTACTCTGTCACTTAATAAAAAAGAGAAATGCCCTTCATTTCCAATGCATGAGAAATGATGTTTGCAATTTTCCTGCTGGCAAGTGCAGTACCGTAGAGTAATTAGGAAGACCATTTGGATTCCATCTTAATGACAAAAAAATATAGACCACTGGTCTCTCTGATAACTCTACAGTTGGCCTCAGAAAGTGACAAAAAAAAAAAGCATGCAGCAATACTACTTTTTTCTGTAGCCCCACCCAGCAGCCCGGGCTCCACTTAAAAATTCCAACTAAAGAGAAAATGGAAACAAAAATCATTAAGCACCTTAGGGTTTCTAAGCGTGGGGAAGACCTGTACAAAATGGAAATACAAAGTCTGTGTGGGGGTGGGGGAAGGGAAGGAGGCTTGGAGGGATGGATCTAAGATCCAAGATGTGATCTGTGGTACAATTCAACTTACAACCTTGCTTACCAGGACAGGATGGCTGTTTTATTATTGGTCATTTTGAAACAAACAAAAAATTGAATTAGTTTCCTCCAATTTGGGCAGATTTCTTCCAAAATGTAGAGATTATAGGTATTTTATTCATACCGTCATTTTTCTGGAACTAAGTCAAATAATTCGGTAGCACCGTGATGGGGCAAACAAGAGATGGGGAAGACAGGAGCCTGTGTCTTCTAACTCACTCTTTACCAAACTGCCATGAATCTTTAGAGACCTTAGAGTCTTCCTAGACTGTGAGTCTATCCAAATCTAGCCCTTTCCTTAATTTCAAAAGCATGTCGTCCCAAGACAAGCAGATTTCTCTGCAGGCTCAGTGGAACCAATGCCAGCTTGGCCAAGGTGAGTCTAAATGCTCCAGAATGGCAAAGGCTGACAACATTTGGGAAGGTATCTTGGTCACAGCGGGGTAAGAATTTAATCAGCACAAGCACATCTGCTAAGTTAAAGGGTTACAAAAAATTTAAGTTCATTTGTTTCTTTTTCAGATGTGAACTTTGCTGAGAAAAGGGGTCTACGGGGGTCTTCATTTTACTGCTGATTTCCCTTCTTTTTGTGTCTAAGTCCATTTAGCCCATGCAACATTATTTACACCACCCCCTCCAAAAAAATAGCCAACTCTCATATAAACCCTATTAATGGACTGAGAAATACAAGGACATTTACTAAGAAATGTGTACAAAAAATGTTTCTCTCAAAGAGCAGGTTCCACTGAGACTGCAAAGAAATCTGCTTGTCTTGGGACGACATGCTTTTGAAATTAAGTAAAGGGCTAGATTTGGATAGACTCGCTGTCTAGGAAGACTCTAAAGTCTCTACAGCAGGTTAAGTTAAGCAGAAACCAACCTCTGGAATAAAATTTTTCAAAAAGATTTCTCTTTGTACTAAACAGGTTTTTACCGAAATTTTATATATAGGAATATGTATTTAATACATTTAAATTCTAACAAACACTGACAACTGGTATTAATTACAAAATGTGACTTAGCACACATTTGTGGTAACAGAAGGTTTACTATGTAACTTCCCATTATACAACAAAAATTAATTGCATATTTCAAATAAAAGTATGCATACTTCACACAATTTTTCTGAATATCAACCTACTTGGTTATTCTCCCAACTTTCAACTCTTTGAAAGAAGTTGTTCTAAAACTTAAAACTCTTTAGCTTTCATAGCAACAGAGGAGAAAACACAATTCCTTTGGGGGTGAATGAATAAGCGACAGAAATGCTAAAGAAATCATTTACAAGTATTATATAGGTAACAATGCATTACAAACTGCTTTCTGTTCACTACACTTCTTTTTGCTTTTCTAACTTGGAAGTGGTGCGCAGATAGGCCCTATATGCTGTGTATGTCTTCTGCGACGCTAATCTTACTGGATTACTCAGACTCAGGCTCACGCCGCACCTTGGACAGGAGTCAGAATGTGCCGCACCTGTAATGCCACCAAAGGGAACAAACTGGGAGCTGGAATGCTGGATTTCCGATCTCTCAGCCAGCATCAGTTCCGGTTCAGTTAGTAGGTGATGACCCATCTGGCTTCCCTGTGACTTCTTCCCCAAAGAGGAGCTTCCGGAGTATATTGGCATAAAACGGTCCATATACTCGCTTGTTGAGATTCACGATGTTTGCGTACTGAGAGCCAAGCACTTCGAGCTCCTGCTGGATGATGGCAAGACCTCCTGGCACCGGAGGCAGGGACTTTTGAGGACTTGGAAGACAGAGTAGGTCTTTCATGTACAGCTGGATCCGTTTATCTGTTGGGAAGGAGAGAGTGTTACCTGCCCCTCATTATCAAAGCATAATTTTAAAAAAATGAGAACAGTCATTAGAGTAATGAATTGCAATATTGCCAATGCTTTATCCCTCCCTCTATCATGTCCTTTAGAAGGTAGCTTCTTTTTTTTGCTTTTGCTTTTTGGGTCACACCAGGCGATGCTCAGGGGTTACTCCAGGCTCATGCACTCAGGAATTACTCCTGGCGGTGCTCGGGGGACCATATGGGATGCTGGGAATCGAACCTGGGTCGGCCATGTTGGCTGTGTGCAAGGCAAACGCCCCACCCGCTGTGCTATCGCTCCAGCCCCCTAGAAGGTAGCTTTGCAGTTCCTCCCATCGAAGGCCAAAGTCTGGCTTCCTAGGCCTTTAACTGGGATGCTAGTTCTATGTCAAAGTCTTAAGAATCAAAGTTCACATCATCTGGATGTACCCACCACACCATGGTGGACCAGCCTGGACCTCAGGATAAGTCATATTGAGCCTAGCTCTCTCTGTTGCCTTCCTAGATCAATCTGTGGACAAGTCGCAAACAGCTGAGACCCTAGCCAAGATCAGCAGAACTTCGACCTAAAGAGCTGACTGCAAGTGCAAAGGGGAGCCCAGCAAGACCAAAAAGAACAACCCGCCTGCTCCCACAGTCTAGTGAGAAATACTACATGCTTAGGTTTCTATAGCTATGGAGTTTGCTGGGCTAAATGATTAAAAAATGAGGAGCATTTTGCAGGCAGGGCAGGGAGAGTCTACAAATGTCAATAGGTAAGATCTTAATTTTAGTCATCCACACTGAAGCTCCACTTGTAAACCAGCATTGCCACCCTGGCCCACTTTGGGGTTTATAAAAAGAAAAACCATATAAAGGGCAGGGGTTTCACACAGAAATTCAAATGTATGACTATTTTTGAAAAAATTTAGAGAGTTGGCAAACTTAAGGACCCACATGAGCACATGGCACCAATGACCACATGCCCAGGTTTTCCAAGGATGGTCAAGTTTATATTCACTGTCCTGGCAACATTATAAAGAACACTCTCTGGGCCAGGGATGTGGCTCAGTATGTGGCTTACATGTATAAGAGACTGGGTTTGATCCCTGGCACACACAGAAACGTCCTTAGAGGATCAGCCCAACACTTCGCCAGTAAACTAGAGGCACTAAAGAAGGGACCACCCCAACTGGCACTTTCACTATATCCCTCATCCTTTCTGTGTCAATGCAGCTACTCTTCAGACCATTTACAAATATCATTCCAAGGCATAAATCCAAGAGGCTGACTGCAGCAGTTAGTATTGAACCAACAATGCTGGATAGGGCCATGCTGCTCCAGTGAATTTCTCTGGTTCTGGAAACTACGACCTCACATGTAAGGAAGTTTACTGAGAAAAATACACTCCATCAAATACTGACAACTATGACATTAATGAAACTTACCTCTGAACATCATCATCTGTGAACATCATCTGGATGTACCCGCCACACCATGTGGACCATCCTGGACCTCAGGATAAGTCATATTGAGGAAACACACGTTTCTTCAAAGTCATGTGTTCCAGTCAGACCTGACCTAGCACTCAGAGTTCCCAGTGTTTCATATTCATGCCTTAGAATTGATTCCTATTAGAATTTCCCTCTGAGTATCTCACCTCTGCAGAATGTTCCCTTCCATGCCCAGCCCTGATCCCTGGGGCTCTCCCTAGAAACTGTCAGACTATCACACCACCTAACTCGAATCTCTCTTCCTCCATGGTGATGGTGGGTTCTCCGAAGCTAAGGGCTCCTTTTGTTAATCTCTATATATCTGGTCCGGCAGGTGGTAGGCATACTCACCCATGCTTATGATTGAATGCAAGTGAGAAAGGGATGAAAAAGACCAACAATTATCATCGAAAACTGAAGACCATAAAAGCCAGGGGGAAACAGGACTGAAAAAGGCAATCAAAGATCACTCAGGCTGGAGAAACCTGCAATCTGTCCACAAGAATAAATGACTCCTCTTACGAGTCATTTGTACAATTAAAAATTACATTTTAAAAAATGAGATAGCTAGAAGCAAATTCTAAAGCAGGCAATCTGTAGTGTCTACCTAATTTTTATATATATTTGAAAATATTAGTTTAAAAGGACAACTGGTTTAAATATTAGTTTTAAAGGACAATTCTTCCTGAACTATTGTTCTAAAGGGCTTAAAGCATAGTGGGAAGCTATAATCCCTTTGTAAATAAATAGCACGAAACAGCAAAGAGAAACAGCAAAAGGCAGGTGGGAACAGAGAGCAGGGGATAAAAATCATGACATTAGAACATTAGTATCAGAGAACTGCTCCAAGTGCTTAATTCATTCTCTACTGCAGGCAGGAAATTAAGAGTCAACTGTATACTGAATCTCCCTTACACTGGTTGCCTGTCTCTCAGGAGCCTTCCGGGTTTATTTTCGCCACAGATATGGTCCAAATACTTCCCTGCAAGATTGCTTAATTAAAGAATGGGACTCTTTTAAGACTGTTATTAGGCTGACAAGTGGTTCTGTCCCCTCCGTGTATAAGCCAGGTGTTATATCAAGACTTTAAGTGACAGAAGCATTTGTCCACCTACAAAAAGCTAAACCAAGTCTTTGCCAAAGGCGTGCCTTTGGCTTCCAGAATAGAAGATGCACAAGTGAGTCATTTGAGTTGCTAGGCAACAATACTTTAAAAGAGGTTTAAAAATGCTCTCGATTTAAAGAGCTTTAAAAATGCTTGCAAAAGAACAAACTTTCAGACTGGGGAGGGCTGGGTGGAAAAAGGCTTATTTACCAGGTTTAAAGGTTGTCTGGCTCTTAAAATCATCTTTTTTTTTTTTCCTTTTTTATTAGTGAAGCAACATGAGGTACAGTTGTAGATTTACAAATTTTGTGCTTGGATCTCGGTCATACCACGATCAAATACCCATCCCTCCACCAGTGCCCATTTTCCACCACCAGGATAATATCCCTCCCCCCCCATCCTCCCATCCCCCCATCCCCCCCTGCCACTGTGGCAGGGCATTCCCCCCTGTTCTCTCTCTCCTCCTGGGCGCTGTGTTCAGCCAAAGAGGCATTGAGTGGCGAACATGTTCAGTCCAGTCTACTTTCAACCTGCATCTCCCCTCCTGGGAGGATCCTCCAAACACCCTCCACTTGGTGTTCCCCTTTCTATCTGAATTGTCCTTTCCCCTAGAATACCCAGCTGGCCTCTAAGTTATGGAGTAATTCTCCTGGTGTTGCTCTCAGCTATTCTTGGGTATTAATCTCATATTTTATTATTTTATATCCCCCAGATGAATGCTATCTTTCTATGTCTATCCCTCTCTTTCTTAAGGACGTTTTCCAAGAGGGGCATCTCCTGGTCTCCCAGTTCCCCTTTCCCACTGACATTCCAAGTACTTCCCTTATCTAAAAGAAGGCCCCAGAGGGCACCCAGGTGCTCTGACTACTTTGCCAACAAGCAAGAGATCAAAGTGAGTAAGAATGTCTTGGGTGGGTTTTTTTGTTTGTTCTTTAGTTTGTTTTTTGGTTTGGTTTTGGTTTCTGGGTCATACCTGACAATGCTTAGGACTGACTACTCATGGCTCTGAGCTCAGAGATCACTCCTGGTGGGCTCCAGGGACCATTTGTAGAGCCAGGAATTGAACCTGGGTTGGCCACAGGCAGGGCAAACACCCAACCCTGCTATGCTATCTCTTGGGCCCAAGTAAGAATCCGAGCTCTATAGAGACAAGTACCTGGACTCCAGACACACAGGCAACCTCTAGTCCAATGCACAGTCTATGACAGAGCTGCCCCAGATGACTCCAGAACTCAAAATGAAGGAAAAAATATGATTCTGGTCTTGTAAAGCCTCTGGAATTGGGACTTGCTACACAGATTGACTGCAATGATAGCGTTCAAACAAATATAGGCAGTTAAGATGTTCTCAAATGCTCTTCACCTTCCAGGACTTGCACAGTGATTTTCGGGGACATGCTGGAGTGACAGCACAGTGGGTAGGGCGTTTGCCTTGCACATGGTCAACCCGGTTTGATTCTTCCGTCCCTCTCGCAGAGCTTGGCAAGCTACCAAGAATATCCCGCCCACATGGCAGAGCCTGGCATGCTCCCCATGGTGTATTCGATATGCCAAAAACAGTAACGACAAGTCTCACAATAGAGACATTGGTGCCCGCTCAAGCAAATGGATGAACAATGGGAGGACAGTGCTGACAGTGCTCTTCTCATGGAAGATCCCGGGGAGTGGGAGCACAAGTCTGTTCACATCATTCTTACTGATCTTCCTACAGCCAAAGCAAGCCCCATGGTCAAGTTCAACACTAACAATGGAGACGTATCCTCTGCTCACACGGAGGGTACTGCAAAGTGACTTGGCAAAGACTGGGCTGGACACGGCTATGATAGAAAGCAAAGGATTGGAACCCATCCTCTTGGTGCTAGTCAGAGACTTTTAAATGTGAGACCACCCAGTTCATCCAACAGACTTTTTTTGAGCACCAGATTTTGGCAGGCAGAGATTAGGAGTCAAAAGACTTGAGAATCTAATGCAACTATACAGGTGCATGGCAACAGGTGTCTTGACTTAATGTAGCAAAGGTACCTGAGTAAAGAGCTGAGGAGGGTTGGGAAGGTGGATGAACAGGGCTAGTAAGTGGGTGACTGGGAAGGAACATGACAGAGAGGAAAAAGCAAGAAGACAGAAGCTCTGTGTGGTGTTGGTCATTTAAAGGAATGAGCCAGTTTGAAATACAGGTAAAGAAAAGAATGTTGTATGTGATATAAGCTTCCCCGTTTTGGTAAATGTGATGTTGACTCGTAGTAAAGGTAAAAGGTAAAGGCCCTCCCGTTGATCGTCGATTTGCTCGAGCGGGCCCAGTAACGTCTCCGTTGGAGACTTTGTTGTTACTGTGTCTGGCATATCGACTACTCTCGGTAGCTTGCCGGGCTCTCCGAGAGGGGCGGAGGAATCGAACTCGGGTCGGCCATGTTGGCTGGGTGCAAGGCAGACGCCCTACCCGCTGTGCTATCGCTCCAGCCGACTCGTAGTAGCCCAGCAGAAATGCCTGTAAGTTGAAGAGGTCTGATTAGCATCTGGAAAATGGCCAGATCTGCATCTATGGAGCTGTGGACCGTCCAGATGAAGAAATAGTTGTAATTCTCAAGGAAGTAAGCATAACAAAATGGGACCTAAATTTACAAGAAAGAATATAAAGGGGAGGCAAGGGGTAGTGATACTACCCCATTTTTTAAAAAGCAGGGGTTCAGCAGCAGAACCCTTACCTAGCATGTGTGAGGATCTGGGTTGTGCCCCTGATGCATGACTACACACACCCCAACTCTGGGACAATAATATACAGGAAGCAAATGTCTTAGTATAATTACATATTACATGAAACAGGCCTTGTCTATATTAAAATATTTTGTACTAAAATAATGAGAGAGAGAGAGAGAAAGAGAGAGAGAGAGAGAGGAAAAATGTCTGCCGTAGAGGCAGGTAGTGGGGAGGGGTGGAAACCCAATCATGAAAAACTTTTTAACTGTGTATATCACTCTGATTCAATTAAAAAAAATTTAGAAATTTACCCACCACCACCCCCGAAAATATGAGATAGCTTGGTAAGAAGTCCTCCCTCAGCACTAGACTCGTAATGTGACCATGGGGGAGGGCTACTCAACTGCCTCGGTTTCCACCCACATTTGTTAAATGCCAACATTAGGCCCACATGGTACAACTCAGAGCAGCGGTGTCCCATCCTGACGAGGCAGGCATGGTCGTCACCGGGGGCTCTAATGGCACGTGGCCAGTGGCTGTAGCCAGGCTGGCCTCTTCCTCTGCAGACCATCACAGGCTGCAGGGCAGACTCTTGCCAGCAGGGAAGATCCTGCATGAGTCCAGCTCCAGGCTGCTGCGTTTATGCCATGCTGGTGACTTAGCAACTGTCACCTCTAACACAAACAGGCTCTTATCTGGGCTGAGGGTTGAAGCTTGACACTATTAAGGGGCCAGCGTGGCCATGATCCCGTGCATTCCATCACCACTGTGAGACACAGTTTGAGAGCCTCGGTTAATAAGTACTTGTGTACTCTGGGCCGGAAGATGTATGGATTTATGCTAGAATGACGGCACAGTCTACAAGGAGGATGCTGCTTCACATCGTGGCATCAGCCTCTCGCCTTCTGTGGCCAAAATACCTGGGTGTTTGGAGGAAACATGTTCCCTGCTGTGCCAGGCTCCAGGCACTGAGCACACACCCTGCACTTAAATTCCTTAGCTTTCTGTCTCCACAACTGATTCTCAAATGGGTATGTTCTAGTCATGCCAACTGGTATCCAATGAGACAGAATTTCCAGTTGCTGTCTGGACTGAAGGAAACAGGCACCTGTTTTCCACCTGGTGAACATTGGATAGACACAGGCCAGAGCTGAAGCCTGTGGAGCTGTAGAGACAGCCAGCCCCAAGGAAGGACATGCTGACAGAGGGACAGGGGAAAACGCGCTGGTGACCACGTCTGTCAAGCTGTAGTGCGGCCAGTCCTACCAGCTCTTCTCAGAGGACACAATCCCTTTGTCAGGATTCTTTTCCTGTCAGAGGGACTAGGAAACATCCCCACACCATCTCTGTTTTTCCAACCCAGCAACACACTTGACAGTTGACACCCTTTCCTGGTAATCCGGTGCAAAGAAACCCAACTATTGGCCTCCAAGTTCTGTGACCTTTTGAGTCTTTGTCTCTCTGTGTCTAGTCAAGGAAGAGACATCAGTTCACCTAAACTAACTCTGGGCCGGAGGGGGGGGGGGCTAGTTTTTTTTCTTTTTTTCCTGTGAGCTCACAGTCAGCTGGTTTGAACTGTATGACCAAGGCTTTAAAAATAACTGGCAGCATTATGTTGTTTCATTCAGAAAGACACACTGGCTGGAGGGTAAGAGAATGGCCCTGAGCTCCCAGCTCCCCGGTACCACCACCTCTACACTGTAATATACTACATGATACAGTAAATCCCGAACCTTTGAAAATATTAGTGTTTTCTTTATATTTTCAGTATTCATTCTCCGAAAGAACTTAGGCAGTCTTTTTGACTAAAAATTGACTGCCAGGTGACATTAATCAAATTCAGAAAGTTCAAATTACTTGGGTGTGAAATGGAGACCAATCGGAACAGGGAGACTCACCAATCAATGACCGGATGGGGTTGCCTTCCTCTTCGATACTTGAAAATTGGCCCACCAGATTAGCTTGAATTTCAGCATTCAAAGCAGGCAAGCCTCTCTCGGTGAGGGTCTTATTAACCTCAGCACACGTCTGAACACCAATGGAATTCAAGACTTCCTTCAGGTTAAAGGTCCTACAAAACAAAAATCAAAATCCCACCATGGAGAATGTTTCTGTTCATTAGTTTTCGTGTTTTTAAATAAGATATGCTGAGCTGGAGCGATAATACAGTAGGGAGGTCATTTGCCTTGCATGTGGTTGATAAGGTTCGATTTGGCCCCCGATATGGTGGGTTCCCTGAATCCCACCAGGACTAATTCCCGAGCACAGAGCCAGGAATAAGCCCCGAGTACTGTCAAGTGTGTCCCCAAACCCAAAAATAAACAAGCATTTTGACTGGATGCCAATTTTCTTTTCTACAGATGACATGTGCATCTTTTGGAATGAATTTAGGCGTAACTCCTCCCAACATTAAATTTTAAGTAGCAAATTATTAAACTAAAACCACTTAATATGATATGTAGTACTTAAATAGGAAGGCACAAACAGGAATATGATCCTAAAGATCAGTCTATAATCCCATGTTCATGGAGGGCTTTCAGAAATGGGAAGTCCCTATTTACTCTTTAAACCAAAGGATATCCCTTTAAAGGATATCCCTTTGGTTTGAATACACCAACTTATTATATATTTTTACTGTGTTTCTAAAATGACATTAAATAAATTACCCATTCCTAGGTAGTAAATATATAGCATGAATTAAAAACAAGAAATTCCTTTCTATTATTAAAATCACAGAGCTAATCAATAATTCCAAATAATTCCAAATAATCCCAAACGAAGTCCAGAAAACTATAAAGGAATGGACTGCTTGCTAAGTAAGATAGAAGAGGTAACTGGAAAAAAAAAACTGGTCAGGTCCATACTATTGGGGAATGATGACTGCAAAGTGCATCTCACCATTCAGAAAGGATCTTAAAAACGGTTCTGTGCAAAATGGCAATTAAAGAGAAAAGAGCATCGAAGTGGGAGACAGTGTTGTGAAGAAATTAGGGCATATCCTGTGTCACTGTGTGACCTAGGTTGAAATCTTGGCTCTGCCTCTAAACTCACTGATTTATTCTTAGCATATTGTCAGAAAGGGAATAAATACCTAACAAGAAGAAGAAAATACTGAGAACTGTTTCCCATATCTTTTATGACAAGAAGAATTAAGTTCTTATCATTCTGCCTTGACTAAATTTTTTATCAGTCTACAATGAACCTGTCTTTGGGGCTCCAATACACCAAAGGTAGATTGATGATGGCAACGTGTTTACCTCCTGACTTTATATATAAAGAAGTTGCTTGCTTTCTTCTGCTTTTAATGAGACTTCCTAAGTTGAAGGGAAAATTTCATTTTGAGCACACCCCATGGTACATTAAAGATGTCACAACTCTCATTACTTTCCAAATGGCATCGTCAAATCTAACTGACCACTCGGGATTATCTGCCTTTTCACAGTGTGAGTGCGACTGCCCCATCCATAGTGCTGGTACTTGAAAATTGACCATATTCATTTGCTAACACTGACTGGGGAGAAGAGTCAAGGAAACAATAAAACGACCACAGAGGATGATTTAACAATGAAACAGTCACTGGAAACTAACACTGGCCAAGTGCCGACTGCTTGCCAGCTCTAAGTGCTTCACACAAACCAGCTGAAGTTCTCACAACTGCAGCTGGAACAATGATTCTCCCTTTCTTGTCAGTTAGGAAGAGAGGAACACCCAGGAAAACATAGGACAGTGGCAGATCTGGGATCTGAAACTTTGACAGAGCTGAAGGTCTGTTCTTTTAGCAAGCAGTTCATCTCTCAGTAAACTGAGGGTTCCCTAAAAACTTCATCAGAAAATACTTCTGCAAGGTAATCATTCACCAACGTGAGGAGATGCTGAGGAAAGATAAGATGCAAAAGCAGAGAGGGCTGCTTTCATTTTAGGTCCCAGGGCCCAAGGGTGGCACAACCATCTCGGCAGGGCGGCAGCAAAGACTAGGAGGGGCAGGGCCTTGGAACGGTCAGACCTTAGTTTGACCTTTTCTTGCCATGAAGCCAGAAGCAAATCCTGGTTTCTCTCTGAGCTTCAGTCCGAAATAAGAACTTTGGATGGAGCTGGAGCGATAGGATAGCAGGTAGGGCATTTGCCCTGCAAGTGGCCGACCTGGGTTCGATCCCCAGCATCCCATTTGGTCCCCCAAGCACCGCCAGGAGTGATTCCTGAGTGCAGAGCCAGGAGTAACCCCTGAGCATTGCTGGGTGTGTGACCAAAAAGAAAAAAAAAAAGAACTTTGGAAGCCTGTGACCACCTAAGACTCTACCTGGTAATTTATGTGCTGCGTAACGGACAGGGGTTTTGGAAGGGAAAGAGGATTTCTTTACATGAGGGAAATAAAAGGTATATGCCCCTGGAAATATATGAAAGGAAAGCCAGTCGGAGTGAACCCACAGGTGACCCACAGAAACGTCCAGTCACTGAGTGAGATCAGGACTTTTCTGATTCTGAGCACGAGGATCTAAACGCAAAATCAAACCGGGATTTAGCATTCAGTGATGTCATGGCACTGGACTGAGGGACCTTCACCAGACTTATGTTAACATCTGTGAAGGACAGAAATGGCACTATTTCAAAAGGCTTCGGCAAGAGGTAGGAGGAGGGAAGTTGGTAAGCCACTGACTACAGAACAAAGAAGGAGTCAGGGAAACCTGATCACTGAGAAAGTTAGACAGAGCATCTGAACACCGGGCTTGGCGACCTTCTGTGTGTTAGCATTCACAGCACAAAGACAACCTCTTGCATCCACTCCTGGCCCAAGGGGAAATACCACACTCAGCCTGGCATGGAGCATGAAAAAGACCCTTTCCTTGCACTCAGCCTTCAGAGATACCAAAAGAAATTCTAGGAAAGAAAGTGTAAGCTTAGTCCTGATGTCCAAGGTGATCCTTGTTCTCTGCCTTGTTGGGGGGGGGGGGGGGGGCGCGGAGGGAGAAACACTGGAAACTTACTCTTTGTTCATGCCTTCTAGCAGAACGGCTGAAATCCGTTTTAACCTGTTTGCAAGCTCAGGCTGGCCTTCTATAATAGCACCCACCATGTTCTTGGTAATCAGGGACAAACAGGCAATCATTTTCAATTGATTCAGCTTTTCTGCCAGTTCCTGAAGACGGCCTTCATCTGTTATGAGTGTCTAGGGTGTTAATTTAAAAAAAAAAATAAAAAAAAAAGAAGAAAGGGAAAGAGAAATTCAAAACCATCAAAATGAAAAAATCAGCAATGTTGCATCCCAAATTCTCATTTTTATCAGATTTCAGTCAAGTTATGAAAGTTACATGCAGCAGACTCACAGTAAGAACGGAAGAATTAAAATATTGGAAAACAGAAGCGAAGAAAAAAGTCACTCACCTCTGGAAATACCTTTTTCTGATAATCCCACTGTAACAGTTTCAAGTAACTTTTATTTAGCACCAATGTAGGGCTCAGGCTTGCTTTGGAAGTACTTTCTGCTCCAGGAGTTGAAGTAGTCTCAGAAAGAGAACCTAATTCTTCCTCTAGAGAGTCTTTTATCCATTCTGTAGTTTGTTTAAGAGCACCTAAAAGGAAAAAGGCCACATAACTGTCCTCCGGCTCATGGATCTCTTTGTTGGTAACAGGTGTTCCATTAGGTGCTGGGCAGGAATGAAAAGGCATGCCAAAGCTTATAACCAAGACGGTTGAGGCGGAGAAGACAGACTTGTAAACTAACAATTACAGGGGGATAGATACCAGGACAGTGAAAAGTGCAGAACGTGTCAGAGACAGATCTGTAGACGATGAACCCTGTCTGAGACATTGGAAAATGCAAAGTAGACAGAGGAAAGAAAGGGCTGTCATTACAGGCAAGGAGAACAGCACAGCAAAAGAACCTGGGAGAGTTATGCAAGTTTGGTAACTGAAATCTCCAGGCTTTCGGAGTTGGGGATGTGTTTCCTTCCAACATCTCCCTGTGCTTCTGGAAGCCTGGCATTCATGCCTGTGAACTGCCTCTAAGCACCATATAAGCTCATTAATGGCCATGATCCAGAGACTCACAAAGAAATGTTGGAAGAGAGTAACATGATACAGAGATGCCTCTGGACCCCCAAAATTACCATCCAGTTAAAAATTTAACTCCAGCTCTATCATCCAGTTTAGAATTCCTGGAGCGTGTGGCTGCATTTGCTGCCACATGACATCTCAAACTTTATGCCACCGATGTACCAAGAATAACATACCACATTTGATGGGGTGCAAAGTACAAGGCCACCAATCTTGATCAAATATATACATATAAATAGAAATAGATATTAGTACACAAGGCTCAACCTATAACAACATGTTAGTGATCTCTTATCAAGGGCTTAATGGCTCCAAGGCAAGATACAACAATTTTCAAGTACTTTCCTCTAAGGAAACCTTTTTGGATCATTTTTAGCAGATTAATCATAAAAAGCAATACAAAATAAATTATTTAGGAGCTGCCTTTGGGGCAGTCGTGAGTGGTGGTTGGGAAAATTCAAAATAATGGTGGTGGTGTAATGGTTGGATTGGTGTTGGAATATTGAAGGTAATAAATTACTGTGAACAACTTTATAAAAATAAAATTAAAAAAAGAAAAGAAAAACCTGGGTGAGTCAGGCAAGTTCTAAACATGTCATGACAAGGGTGAATCTCCACCTCTTAGATTGAGAGTCTCAACCTTGGCACTACTTATTTTGTAGACAGAATTTTTCTTGTTGGGAGAGGAGAGGGTTGTTGTGTCCTGTCCACTCCTGTCCACTCTCGTCCTCACTGGACACCAGCAGTGCTTCCCTCTCCACTTGGTGGCAATCACGTGTGCCCAGACATGGCCCCATGGCCTCCAGAGGTATAAAGTCACCCCCAATGGAGGAGCCCGGGCTTAAGCCAATGACCCACATTTATTTACAGGTTTATCCCCAAACCTTGAATAAAATGTCTCTTACACTGTGAACTAAACACACCTGACACCTTAAAAGTCTATTCCAGAAGGATTCAGGTTTGGAGACAAGACTTCTGAGGCTGCCTGCATAGAGGCAAACTTCACCTGCTCTACTTGCACCCCAGCTCAAAAGTTTTCTGCAGTAAAACTGCTTTTAAATATCCAATTTTAGATGAAATTACAGATCTGGTAGGTTTTTAAGGTGGCAGTTAAACACCTGTAGAAGTTTTTTTGTTTGTTTGTTTGTTTTTTTGCTTTTGGGGTCACACCTGGTGATGCACAGGGGGGGTTACTCCCGGCTCTGCACTAAGGAATTACTCCTGGTGGTGCTCGAGGGACCCTATGGGATGCTGGGAATCGAACCTGGGTTCGGCTGTGTGCAAGGCAAATATCCTCCCCACTGTGCTATCACTTCAGCCCCCGAGGTGCAGAGTTTTTAAAAGAGCTAGAGAACAAAATGAAGAATGGTCACATGGCAACATCCTCAGACAGTGGGCACTTGAACAGGTTGATTTACCAGTAGCTCCCTTTGTCACCTTACAACAAAACCACCTTCAGACTCTCTTTACTTTATTTCTCCTTAGTTGTGTCATTCTTGCTTTTTTGAGCTTTCTTTTTTTAAACAAAGATGTAAAAGATTGGCATCTTTTATTTAAAAAAAAAATAGGGGAGAGAGGGAGAGAGAGGGTTTTAAATAAGCACGGACATAATTACAATTTGGTGGAAATATTTCTGCTGAGAGTTTAATTGGTTGGGGTTTTTCTGGGGAGGTGGGGGACACACACCTGGCTATGCTTAGGGGTTACTCACAGCTCTGCACTCAGGGATCACTCCTGGAGGTATTCTGGGAACCTTATGGGATGCTGGGAATCGAACCCTGGTCATCCAGGTGTGCGGCCGGCACCTGATCCAATCTACTATCTCTTGGTCCCTGCAAGTTTAATTATTTAGAGCTGATACATTAAAAAGATGATACATTTAAAATGATATCAAAGACGAGTCATGCAAATGCAATGAAAATGCAATATAAGAATTTTTGGAAAACACGTGTCCCTATTATTTTAAAGATAATTACATGAAATAAAGTTCATTAAATTATTTCATTAGATATGACACTATATAAACCTGACCTCTCTGTGTATCTTCTCATTTGTTGAAGGGCCTACAGCAATAGTCCAGAGGGCAGGGTGTAACCTGCATGACGACAACCCACGTTAGGTCTCCAGCACCCCATATGGTCTCCTGAGCCCCACCAGCCAGAAGTGGTCCCTGAACACAGAGCCAGGAGTGAGCTCTGATGCACTGCTGGGTATGATCCAAACACAAAACCCAAAATTCCTCTTGCGGGCGATGGGTAGCTCAAACGGCAGAGAAGAGCACATTCCCAGCGTACTTGAGGCTCTGAGTTCAATCTCTGGCAGCCTGCTGCCCCACTCCTTGGCACTGCCAGGTGTGGCTACGATTTACTACAATTTGCCTCCCTACTGGCCCAACACGGGGGGATCTATTACTCTGTCTGGGGTAATTTAATTGATAGATCTCATGTGGTTACTTAGCTGATGCTTTGTGGAGGAACCCATACCACTGCCTAAGGCTTTTTTTTCTGTTTTTGAGAGGGGGAGGGTGTATTTTAAGCAAGACAAAACCTTTCCTTAAGCAAAAATAAAATTGGTTGGGGCCAAAGAGAAAACACAGGAGGTAGGGTACTTATCTTGTAAGAGGCTGACCTGGGTTGGATTCCCAGCATTCCAAATGGTCTCCTGAGCACTGCCAGGAGTGATCCCTGAGCACAGAGCCAGGAGTAAGTCCTGCGCACTGCTGTATGTGGCCCCAAAACAAACCCCCAACCCCCCACACAAAAAACACTGTTTTTGAAGTGAATTCAGAAACTCAGAGTATTTCTCTAGATCAATTTTCTAATAATCACTTTACAATGTCAAATACATACAAAATTTCCATCAATAGTTCAATATTAAGCCCCAGTGGCCGACTTGGCAGGGTGACTTGAGGATAGAATTAACAAATGACATATAAGCTGCTTCCTAGGCTGTATTTATCTGGAAACATACTTAGAGCGGAGAAATAATAACCCATATGCCCAAATGGATTTATGCTATTTTTAAATCTCTGAAAATAGCCAAGTCAATGTGAAAGACCCAAATTAATTATAGGCCACTAAGCCTGGCTTTTATGGTGAGAAACAAATCATTTGAGATGAGCACACTTGTAATTCAACTTTATACATGAATACAGATGCCAAGACAGCTTGATTCAAAGCACGAAGAAGTTTGCACACATGTCTATGTCTGCAATATGCACAGACAAACGAATGCCACCAAACACCAGGTCTTGGAAGATACTGCTGAGAATATAGCTACCGTGGTTCGTTCAGGTTGCAGATTCTATCAGATTCTATCTCAGGTTCTAATTCCTTTAACCCTTCTCTCTACAATATAAACCTGGAGCACAGAAATTGGTTGCAGAAGGATCCTTAAATGTTACCTACCCTTATATGCCACCTCACCTGCAAGGTCCCCGAGAGGTGGGCATTCACCTCCAAGTCAGGAAGTGTTACACAGCAGTAGAATATTCCTACAGTCCACTGCATTGGGGCAAAGACATACCTGTGTTATCAGGCTTTACCACTCCATAGCAATCATCTAATACCTTAACCTCAGTTTCCTGACTTGTAAACAGTAGCTGATAACAGAACCAGCCCCCTGGGGCTACCACGAGGCTTCGGCGAGCTGGTAAATATAGTGGTTGGCGCATAGTGAGGCTTTGGCCCTAACAAGTGCTTAGCCAGCACTGACTACTATTTAAAAAGAGGAGCCAATTCCAATGTTAAATCAGTTCCAGTTGCTAGGAAGCAAACCGGTTGTCAGCTTTCCCTCCTACAGATCCGAGTCTGTTCAAGAGAAGCTGAACTGAAGTCCCTGAACCGGTATCAGCAAGGACAGCAGGGCTCCTGGCTCCTTGGAGTCTCCCTATTCCCAAGCAGATCACGTCCATCTTCACGGATGGTTCCTCAGGTGACCCTCCTGGACCTAGATCCACACTCCTGGACAAGCAAGTTGCAAAATCCCTCTGAAAGTGGCACTTCTTTTATCATACAAACTATCTGGATGAGAAACTTCAGTCCAGGAGAAGTGGGGTGAGGGCGGGTCCCGCTAGTGCACTCAGCTGTGGGTCTTTAAGGTACCAAGATTTGCCACTGAGGGAACCAGAGTTGACGCTGTGTGACAACTGGCATCTCCAGTTCCATGACTCTACGGTGAAGGTCTAACAGTACCCATAACTCCAAACAACTGTGAGGATGCAACGAGGTACTACCTTCCTCTGCTCACAGTCTGTCTTGAGTCCATTCCCATTCCATTTTAGTGCCCACCAACCCGCTGAAACTGCTCTCAGTAAGGTTCCCTGAGATCTCCATGCTGTCATTTGCAGTGGTCTATCCAACAGAAGGTTTTTAATCACACAAGCACATTGAGAGACTCACAATTCCCTTGTTTTCATTTGCATGCAATCATTCCCATGACCCATGGAAGGTTTCCAATCACGTACCCACATTTAGAGGACACTTAATTCCCCTGGAGCAATAGCACAGCAGGTAGGGCATTTGCCTTGCACACGGCCAACCTGGGTTTGATTCCTCCATCCCTCTTGGAGAGCCCGGCAAGCTGCTGAGAATATCCTGCCTGCACAGCAGAACCTGGCAAGCTCCCTGTGGCATATTTGATATGCCAAAAACAGTAACAACAAGTCTCACAATGGAGACATTACTGGTGCCCACTTGAGCAAATCAATGAACAATGGGAGGACAGTGCTACAGTGCTAATTCCCCTCAGTTTTCAACAAGCCTCCAGGAAACCTTCCTTTGTCTACCTCTCCGCCTCACATACCTCTCCCTTTCCTTTCCTACTCTACTCCAGCCAGACTGCCTGCTAGTTTGCCCAGCTTCACAAGCCAGTTTGTGCTTCCGTGTCTCTATGTGTGGGCTACTCTTCCACAGTTTCATTTATTTGAAGCACTTGTTAGAGTTCAAATATGAACCGTATTCAAATATTACTTACACGAGAGGCCTTCTCAGTCCAATTCATCTAGAAGACACCTTTGCCGTCACCCCGGCACCTTTGCTGTTTGTCCATTTATCCTAAAGCTTTTTTTGTTTGTTTTACTTTAAGGCTACACTGAGCAGTGTTCAGACGAGCACCAGGCTCTGAGCTCAGGGATCACTCTAGCGATGCACGATGCTCGGAGATTATCGTAGGTGCCACCAATGGAACCCGGATTGGCCACGTGAAAGGTAAACACCCTACCTGCTGTACAACTGCTCTGACCCCCATCGGAATGCTCCTTCAGAACAACTAAGAATACAACTGAGTTGGCTTCGTTTGCTGGCTTGTCCTGCCTACCAGAACAGCAGCTCCCTGGGGATCACATCTTGATTCTGTTTTGTTCAGTGTACTATGCATACGGAACCTTATGTGTTGCTGGTTAGCGAACTCGGGTCAGCCAAGTGCAAGACAAGCTCTCTACCCACTGTACTCTCAATTGATGCTTTTGTAAAATTCATGAATAAATGAACAGTGCTTGTTATAGCTCCTGGGACACAGTAAAGAACTACAAGCATGTGAAGTCAGTTTTAGAAGTAAAATAGTAAGTGTTTACAGGAATTGCCAACAAAAAGCTTTAGTGACACTCCTTAAACTATAAAAATTAAAATCCCTGTTTTTCCTGGTCATGGGTATTAGTCTTCTACCATATATATTTTTTATACATCATAAATGAATGCAGTCATTCTGAATTGGTCCCTCTCCTTCTGCCTTCATTTCACTTAGCATGATGCTCTCCATCACAGTATGAATACATATTGTATGTACTTACCTGGAGTTTCTTCTAAAATTTCCTGGAACTTGTTTCTCTCATAATCCACCAACTGGTGTTGAAGAATTGGTCTGATGCTCCTAATTGCAAAATTGACCATGTCCATCCTCATAAGGTCCAGGACATGAAATATTTGCCTAAAATGTTTAGGGTTAAAACAAGAGAATCAAGAAATTAAGTTGAAATTAGTTCACGTTTATCTAGAGTCACCAAAGCCGCCGGTGCCCGCCCCGAAGGGAGGCTGACCAGGTTGGTTTTGCACCCGTGGTCACCATGGTAGGCACGGCGACTACCATCGAAAGTTGATAGGGCAACTTATCATCTCATTCCTACTTTGGACAAACTGGCAGGCTACCGAATATAACCTGCCCACAAGGCAGAGTCTGGAAAACTCCCCGTGGCGTACTCAACATGCCAAATACCAGTAACAATGAAGGATCTCATTCTCCTAACTCTGAAAGAGCCTTGAATATGGCACTTTTTTAAAAAAAATCTCAGGGCTAGGACGAAGGAGACGTTACTGGGGCCTGCTCGAGGCAATCGACAAATAACAGGATGGTTGTGATTGTGATTGTGATAGTTCACGTTTATCTATTTTACAGGCTATAAGAGTCAGCATCCTCAGAAATGGTTTCTAATGGCCACCTGACAAGATTATTTTTCACAGAAGGTGCCGTTTGTGCCTCCCAAATGCAGCCTCCTAAATCTCCAGAGTACTTACTCTCCAAGTATAAAGTTAAGGTGCAATTATTACTTCGATCAAAGCATAAATTAAAATAAAAAGAATTAGAAGCCTTTCTGAATCCCTGATTAACCTCCCCTCCCTCCAACCGCGGTTGCTGGAGTTGCTATTAATTGCCACTACTTCCTCTCCCATTGCCTTTAACACAACAGTAATTCCTGGGGCCGGAGTGATAGCACAGCGGGTAGGGCATTTGCCTTGCACGCAGACGACCTGGGTTCGATCCCTGGCATCCCATATGGTCCCCCAAGCACCGCCTGGGATAATTCCTGAGTGCAGAACCAGGAATAACCCCTGAGCATTGCTGAGTGTGACCCCAAAAGCAAATAAAATAAAATAAAATGGAGTCTTTAAAAAAAAAAACAAACAGTAATTCCAAGTGTGAGATCAAGCCCCCATAGAAGACCATAAACTCCCTGGGGTTTGTGTTATTCTCATCACTGCATCCTGAAGGGTAGGGCCTTGCCAACTCACAGCCTTGCTGGGTTCTATATATACCCTCCAAAGCAACTGATGGACACACTGCTTATTTTGTTTACTCTTTAAGGTCAGGGATTCATTTGAAGGACCATTATTATGACAAAAGTGCTCTGTGGACATTCAAGCAGTGGAAGTACTGACCTCAGCACCTCCACGATGTTGCCGGTGACCTTTAACTCTTTAATGTCATTGTCCCGAGTGGGGGCACACATCTTTCCCATGGTACTGATGATATAGTTGGCCAGACCCTGGATATCCACAGTGCTGTGCTCAGCCTGCTGCCTGATGAGGTCTGTATCCAACACTTCGGAGATCTGGGTGCGAAGCCGGCTGCCACCACCATGACTCAGAAAAGAGAGAAGAATCTACATCGAAAAGGAACAACAACAACAACAAAACATTAACAGCATCGTTCTTAGTAAAGGTTGTCCTTGCTATTTCCTTTCCCAGATGACTAAACACTTTGTCCACATCCGAATGCCCTGAACACCAGGGAAGTTTATGAAGACAAGTGGTCGGTGAGTATCTCAATTCTGAAAAGAACACTACACTGAATTAAAGTCCCCACTTGGGAAATTATGATCTGAATGAAAACTGGTAAGAAATCAGTATCACTGAAAAAGCTTTCAAAAGTTTACAGATAAAAACATAGAGAAAGAGTAAGCTGTAGATCATGGCTCCAAAAGAATTCCCTAAAGAAAAGCAAATGGGCTGAGAGCTAGTGCAACACCCCTTGGCAGTTTATCATATTAGTACCAGCATAATTAATACCATGCGCTGCATTAATACAACGTATTATATTTCACTGTAGCACTGCCCTCCCGTTGTTCATAGATTTGCTTGAGCGGGCCCAGTAATGTCTCCATTGTGAGACTTCTTGTTACTGTGTTTGGCATATCAAAAACTGTCAAGGGAGCTTGCCAGGCTTACCAGACTTTGCTGTGTAAACGAGATACTCTTGGTCCCTTGCTCGGCTCTCCAAGAGGGATAGAGGAATCGAACCCGGCTCGGCCGGGCCAGTTGCATGCAAGGCAAACGCCCTACCGCTGTGCTATCGCTCCATGAAAGATTTATTACTGAGCATGTAAGCCACCTATATTAAGTATCCATGACACAGAAAACACTGTTCTACACGAGACGGGCTGGGAGCGGAGCAGAGCAGCAGTACAAATTGCTCTTCACGCTTCTAAGTTATGTGGCCCCAGGCAAATCAGGGAACCGGATTCTTTAAAGAAAAGAGTAAGAGAAATAACTCTTACAGTGTTACAGTACGGATTAACAAATAATCCTTGGTATAGTCTGTGCTCTATAAATAGGAGCTGAAACTACAGAGACAGAGAGAGATAGAGATAGACACAGAACGACAAGAGACAGAGACATACAGAGGACAGACAGACAGACAGACTCCCCCTTATGTCTCTGGCCAGCCTATGCTCTCACCCAGCCACTCCTCTGCACCCCGAAGGGCCTCAGTTTTTCTAATTGACCACCTTTTTTTTTCAAAAAAGAAACTCCTTTTGGAGGAAGACAAAATACTGTTGGGGTGGGATGGGGGTGGGGGCTGGGGGCGGGGAACTGGCAGTGAGTACAAACAACCTCCACTTGCCTCTCGGATTTCTTCAAACAGCTTGATGGCATGTTCATACTCCGGGGGGTCAGCATTCAGTTCTGATTCCAGGAGGTCCCAGAAGGCCTGGTGGACAATGTGCTTCACTCGACCAAACAAGCTATAGAAATGAATGCATAAGCAGTGTCAAAAAGGAAGTTCCAGGATGGCAAGAGAGTACAGCAGGAAGGGCACTTGTCTCACACACAGCTGAACTGGGTTTGATCCCCAGTACCCCCTCATGGCCCTCCACACCTAGCAGGAGGGATGCCTCAGCATAGGACCAGGAAAAAACCCTGAGGATCACCAGGTGCGGCCCCAAAACTATTAAGAAAAAAATAAGGAAAGAAGGGAGGGAGGAAGGGAGGAAGGAGGGAGGAAGGGAGGGAAAGGAAGAAGGAAAGAAGGAAGGAAGGAAGGAAAAGAAAGAGAGAGAGAGATAAAGAGAAAGCAGAGGAATTTTCATTCATTGCTGGTGGGAATGTTGTCTGGTTCAACCCTTATGGGGAACAGTAGGGAGATTTCTCAGAAAAGTAAGAAGAGAACTTCCATAGGACCCAGCAATCCCACTTCTTAGTATCTACCCCTGAGATACAAAAACATTTGTTCAAAAAGACATATGCATACCAATATTCACTGCAGCACTAGTACAAAAACTAGGATACAGAATCAACCTAGGTGTCAAAGATGAATGCATAGATAATGAAGGTCTGGTATATAGACACACAACGGAATACAGTGCAGCTGCAAAGAACAATAAATTCATGCAACTCACAGCAATTTGGACGAAACTGGAGATCATATTTAATGAAAGAAGTGCAAATACCTAAGGTCTCGCTTCTCTGTGGTGTACGGAACAACATGACGATACAGAATGCAAGGCATCTGAGGTTGACAAACCCTTGGCCCTATGTTAGAGAAATAGGGACAGGGGAGGAGACAAATTGAAGGGGGAAGCAAGGCGTGGCATTTGGAAGGCAGCCAGCACAGGGATCGGGACCGTGGGCAAAGAGATCGGGAGGTGGGACAGAGGCGAGGTATAGGCAAGTATTTCACCCACAGAGTAAACAACAGAGATCAAACTACAATAACCACACTTAAAAACGTGCCCGTTAAGGTGGCAGTAGCGGGCCTGTGGGTGCGAAGGAACCTGAGGACACTGGTGGAGGGAAGCTGCCACTGGGAGTGGGATTGGTGCTGGAACACTGTATGCCTGAAACCATTATAAATAACTTTGTAAAGTCAGTGTCTAAATAATAAAAAAAAAAGAACTGTCTTCCTGATTATGAAACGACTATTCTCATTATAGAAAACTTAAAAAATACAGAAAAACCAAACCAAAATAGTCTGTAATCTCATTACTACTAACCTTTGAGGATAGCTTACTATTTTTCCAAGCACAATCTTAATGCAGTAAGGGCTATTCAGTGTATACAAGATTCCATATTTATTTCTTTTAATAGTCCGTCCTAAGTGCTTCCCATAATGTTAAAATTGTTTATTTCCTATAGCTTTGAGTAAGTTTATAAAATTTGGTCTCACGAGGCCATACCAACAATTTTTCCTAATACTCTCATACACAGATCTTTCATTCTCAGTCTTGGGGACAAAACGGCAACGTTACTCTTTCCTCAAGAGTTGAAATTTCATGGCACAGAATGGAACAGCTGAGCCCTAAGGAGACATAACACTTGAATGCCTGCCAACTTCGGCTTAGATGTCCCATTTAAAGTTAGCCAGACCAATCTGCTGAAACAGACACCTTTCTGGAAGAGGTCCCCACAGAAAAGGCCACCTTGCTCCACCCCTCATGCCGGTGCCCTAAAATAGGTGCTTGGTCAAATTCATCGCTTCTACACGCCTACAGTTCCCCTACTGCTAGTAGGAAAGCACACATTTCCCTGGACTGTAATTACTTCTGGTCACTGACCCCCACAGGGCCACATTCCGATCCCAGGGAGAGACCACAGCTGTTCCAGGTACCTGCCTGCCATTCTACCTGGCAGTGAGTGAGTGTCCAGTGAATGCAAGGTGAGCAGATTGGTAATAGTTGACAATGAAGCATATATCCTCATTTTTCCTTTGAAAGGTAAAAACAGCAAATATATCATAATGCTGTGAGAAATTATAAGGGAGGTTTTGAGGAGTTAAAACTGTGTTAAGGCCGGGAAGAGAGTTCCAAGGGCTGAGTGCATACTGTGCATGCAAGAGGGCTGGGTTTGGTCTTGGCACCATATGGTCCCTTGGAGCACTACCTCTGATCACCAGGTTGGGAATGGTCCCGGAGCATCGCTTGGTATGGATGCCCCCTAACTGCCCTCCCACCCCATTTATGTTAAACTTAGAATTTCTTTCTTTATGTGCAAACAGCATATTCTACCCTGCTGGCTTTAAATGTTAAAATCAATTTTTTTTTTTTGGCTTTTTGGGTCATACCCGGCAATGCACAGGGGTTACTCCTGGCTCTGCACTCAGGAGTCACCCCTGGCGGTGCTCAGGGAACCATATGGGATGCTGGGTATCGAAATGCCCTACCCGCTGTGCTATTGCTCTAGCCCTAAAATCTATTCTTATCACTATTCTTATCCACCCCCAACAACTTCCCCAGAAAATGAAATGACTATCAGTCTTTACAGAAATGCAAATGACAATGCTATCCCTAAGCGAGCTATACAATTCTTCTAGCTCATTCCTATCCAGTCCCTTCAAACCAGGTATGCGAGGCAGGTAATGTCAGAAGCAATAAAAAAAATAAAGAGGAATTATCAGTAGTAAAGGCCTCAAACTGCTTCACTTCTAGTTCTCAGGGAATCTGGCAGCCACTAAATCCACAAGATGTAGAAAGAAAATGCAGGGCCTGGCTCTGACAAGAGCTGCCTCAGGGTCGAGGTTAGCTGGGGTATCCATACAGTTCGAATTCCTAGGTCCAGAGTTCTAAAAATTATGGGTAACAAGTACACCAGAGTAATTTTTTAAAAGATGTAAAACAGGGCTGGAACGGTAGCATAGCGGGTAGGCGCCACCAAGAGTAATTCCTGACTGCATGAGCCAGGAGTACCCCATGTGCATCGCTGGGTGTGACCCAAAAAGCAAAAAAACAAACAAACAAACAAAAAACAAAAGATATAAACCCTTGTTAAAGAACTAAATCATACTTATCTCCAGTAGACAGCATAGAAGAACTTTCAGGAGAGTGTGTGTGTGTGTGTGTGTGTGTGTGTGTGTGTGTGTGTGTGTGTGTGACTGACCCCAGGTTACCTGTTCTCAGGGACAGGAGTTTGCTTCACTTCAAAGTTCTCGTTCACAGCTATTTCATGAGCAAGAGTCAAGTCTAGTAAGTTCCCTGCCGCAGACATCACCTCATCGTAAGTGAGAACTCTGGGAGGGCTTGAGGCTGAAAGAAAAACAGAAACTAGTCAATGTTGTGGAGGAGAATTGTCATCCCATGAACCCTCCTGTTGCCAATGAGGGTTATTTCAACAATTACCTATGAATTTTACAAGAAAAAGAGATACACTCAAATAAGTGGCTTTTTTTGGTGGGGGGCTTTTTTTGGGTTACACCGGTGATGCACAGGGGTTACTCCTGGCTCTGCACTCAGGAATTATTCCTGGCGGTGCTCAGGGGACCATATGGGATTCTGGAAATCGAAACTGGGTCGACTGCATGCAAGGCAAATACCCTACCCGCTGTGCTATCACTCCAGTTCCCTAAGTAAAAGCTTTCTTTGCTTAAAAAGAGTTCACAATTTTGAGAACTTCCTTTGACAGCTTAAGTGACTCATATTCATATAGGACTAACAATACGTCACTTTTCTCAAATCACCTCATTTCAGTATCTATTCACATATACATTTATTATGTGTACCTAGGGAAAGCTGCTAAGTCATTTGACAATGTAGAACTCATTCATTTAAGCAGGCTCAATAGGAAATACCTGGTTTTTTTTTTTTTAAGGTATCATTTCCAAAAAGCCTGAGTAGCATAGCATAATGCTCAGTTCAGTTCTAAGTTTTGTGACTGGAAGTTAGAAGTTACCATTTTACTTCACTGAGGCATACATCACCTCCTCAGACGGCTGAATTAAGGTCATTAAATAAGATAGATTAAAGAACACAGTAAAAAATCAACGAAGATAATTCACATAAAAATAAATTTTATAAGCTAGAGAATCTACTCATGAAGAAGTAGTAATAAGAATTATACTAGGTAATTCTGAAAACTCTCCTAAGAAACTATTCTAATAACTCAGGTCTCATTGAAGGAACTATTGGGACTAGGTTTTTGATCATTAAAATTCATAACCACAATGGTACTAACTGGAAATATTTTGCTACCTACAGTGATGATGGGCTGGAGCAATAGCACAGCGGAAATAGCTTGCACGCAGCCAACATGGCTGACCCGAGTTCGATTCCTCCGCCCCTCTCAGAGAGCCCGGCAAGCTACCAAGAGTATCTCACCTGCACAGCAAAGCCTGGCAAGCTACCCGTGATGTATTCGACATGCCAAACACAGTAACAAGAAGTCTCATGATGGAGACGTTACTGGGCCCGCTCGAGCAAATCGATGAACACAGTGACAGTGACAGTGATGATAATGGTGGTGGTGATGGTAGGGGATAAAGAAGAGGGAGAAGCTTAGGAGAGGGCAGAGAAAAGGAGATGAGTGGGATGGAGGAAGAAGAAATGGTAATACAAGTAATTACTCTTCTTCTGGATAGCTATGTACTATATTGGTGGCCTCAACCCCCATATAATATAGAGAGAGAAGACAGAGAAATGGGAACTGAACATCAGAAAGCTATCTGGCCACTCCTCCATCCCATTACGATTCTCCTTTAAAATGTCTGTGCTCACTGACTGAAAATGTAATTATATCTGAAAGAATTCCTAGAAAGGCTAAAGACATCAAGATGTTCATGAAGTTCTCTCTGTGACAGCAAAAAAGGAAACTAACTAAACGTCCAATGATAAATCTGTGAAAGACTTCATAATCTGTTCACTGGATGGGGTAGTTGGCAGCCATAAAAACGTTTAATGTTTTAAATATATTTTATCATGGGTAAGCGTTGTAGTTATAACACTAAAGGAAAGACTACACTCACACACACACAAACACGTTTTGTGGAAAGTGATATTATGACTAAGTGCTACTAGCTGCCATCTGTGGATGATATTATAGGCAATATTTTCTTTTCTTTATACTTTTGACTTTCCAAATTCTTAGACCAAGGATGCATACATTTCAAATAAGTAAATATGGGGCTGGGGAGATGGTACCGAGATGAAGGCATTTGCCTTGCACTCGGCCAAGGCTGACTGCCCTGGGCAACAGAGCCTGAGAACAGGCCCTGAGCAGTGCTGAATGTGGTCCCCCAACCAAAGAGACAGATAGGAGCAGACTTTTTGTGGAGCCTACATTTCATCACATCAACTATCAGTTGCTTTTCTCATTTGTCAGTGTAAGTGTTCAATTTCCTACCTAAAATGCCAATATAAAAATAAAATCAGAAACACGGCCAAAGCGATAGTACAATAGGTAGGGTTCCTGTCTTGCATACAGATGACCCAGAGTCCACTCCCAGCACCTCACATACCACCACTGAGCCCCGCCAGGAGTGAGCCCTGAGCACTGCCAGGTTTGGCCCAGAAAACAAACAAAAAATGAAAAATACCCACTTTATGCATCTTTAGCTTCTGTATCCCAAAAAGTACCACGGAAGCTGGTCATTTACCTTTTTCTTACCACCACCCTGCCCACCCCACCCCCAAACCCCTGCCCCCAGTCCAGGCATGGAGCAATTCTCCTTGTGGGGCACCTTTCAGGGTTGATTTGCAAAAGAGGTTTTGAAATCATCAGGAAACCTTTATTTCCTGCCCGACCTTTGAATTGGGGCAAGTTTCCTTCCATGTTAACCAAAAGTGATTAGAAAACACTGGTTGGAGTTTGTCCTTGAAAGAAGTCCCCAAAAAATGATCAACAGAAGGCAAGGCTTCCCGCCACTTGAGAGAAAACAGAGGTGTATTTGGAGACTGGAGTTTTAGTCCAAGCAAAGCCCCTCTTACCCTCACCCCCACCCCCCAGGCAGTGAGGCAAAGAAAAATGGGGAAAGCTGCACATTTCGGTGACTATTCCCCACAGCACGTATGGGTGAGCCCCCGGACTCCAGGTGCTATTCAGGGAGGTCTAAGCTAGAAGGTAGGGGGGTACTGTGGGATAGCTGGAATGCCCCTCTCCCCCCACAACCCCGCCACAGACCTGTTCCCCTCCGACTTACAAGTAGGAGAGCTGGATTTGCTGGAGGGGTCGCTGGCAAAGCCCTGCCCAGAACACTCGCTGTCACTGAGCGAAGCCAGGCTTTCCAGAAACTGGGAGGAGTCGGAATCACTGGGCTGGTCCTCGCCCAGGCACTGCTTCTCACCGTTGAAGGGCATGTCTTGTCCCTCGAGTGTGGGTACAGAGAAAGAACCTGTCAGACAAACAGACCCCACGTCAGCATCCTGCGACGCACTCAGGGCTGGCACCAAGGTGCCAGCAGGTGTCTCAGCACTGGAATGGGCCCCAGCGGACTGCATCCTGCTTCCTAGCATCCTGGCCCAACCCACTCTAGCGTGAGGCCTTCGGAAAAGCCTCTCCAGAGGAGAGGGGGTCCACGCCCGTAGGCGGGCACAGAGAAGCTCTCAGCAGTACCAGATTCTCTTCAAAAAAAAAATACCAAAAACAATAGTATGAGACTAACACTCAAGGATGGTAGAGACAAGGGCCAGGAGGATTGGTCCATGGTTGGAAGCTGGCCTCAAGAGGGGGGAGGGGGGGAGGGGGGAGGGAGAAAGGACCACTAAGTCGATGATAGCTGGAAGGATGGCTTGGGACGGGGGGGATGCGTGCTGGCCTCCAAGTACCTGTATTGCAAATCATAATACCCAGAACGAGAGAGAAAGACAAAGAATCAAAAGGAGGATGGAGGGGACGAAGGAGGTGGGTGGTGGAGGAATATGGAGGACACTGGTGGTGGGAAATGTACTCTGATGGAGGGAATGGGCGTTCGAACATTGTATGACTGAAACCCAAACCCACCTGTAACTGTATCTCACAATGATTCAATTAAAAGTGCAGGTAACATGGCAAAAAAAAAAACCCAAAAAACTAAATTAGCACTGTCAGCACTGTCCTCCCGTTGATCATCGATTTGTTCGAGCGGGCATCAACAACATCTCTATTGTGAGACTTGTTACTGTGTTTGGCATATCGAATATGTCACGGGGAGCTTGCCAGGCTTTTCCGTGTGGGCAGAATACTCTCAGTAGCTTGTCAGGCTTTCTGAGAGGGGCGAAGGAATCGAACCAGGGTCAGCTGCGTGAAAGGCAAATGCCCTACCCACTATGCTATGGCGCCAAAAAAATATGATTAAAAAAAAAGTGATCACACACGTTCTTCCTCCTTCTGGGATGCTAACAGGGCAAGAGAGGAGGGCAGAGTGGGCTTTGCCACAGGCCTCTCTAGGTTTGAAGCACCGTCTGTTTCCTCTCCTGTGGCTTTGAGGAAGTCACTTAGCCACCTATCTCCTCCAGAAAACGGGGTTGGGAGATCAATTCGGGGGGGCAATTGACAGAGGCAATAGGACGAGCCTCCTGGAAGCACCTCACACCTCACGTGGCAGCCATTCTAGACCCCTTGACTGAGAACCAGCCTCGGGGGCCCAGTGCTCTCTGCAGACCACTTCGTGGCACATCCTTAGGGTCTCCATTTTGCTGCACGCGGCCCTGGCATGAGTGGCAAGGCTGGGTATTTAGTTGGTAGGTGGTGATTTCAAAAATCCCCACTGCCACCCAATAAACACACAGGCACCAGAGACCCTCACTCACAGATGGGTAGGAAGAGGGCAGGACGGACTCCAAGGGACAAGAAATCCAATGTCACAAAACCAGTTTCACGCCAAGTCTAGTGTCATTTATGGACATCAAACTGCCTTCCAAGAAAGGGCAGGGCAGCTGGGCCAATCATCAGAGAGAATGGGGGATACTCAGACCTATGCCCGGGGCCCCTGCCAGGCAAGGACCCTGAGACTGTGGCATCTAGCGGAGACAGAACAGTGTTCAGTGAGTCTCTTTAAACCCCACCCACCCATGCAATGAAGCACATCGGTCTCTGAAAGCTGCTACGTGCAATGGCGTGTGTGCCTTGTCACGCTTGCAGTTTTCAATGAACCCTGTCCTTATCTGCCAAGGGACTGCAACACGCTGGGTACTGGGAAGGAGTTCGTACCCAGGGCCTACTCTCCCATGAGTGCCAGCAGCTGGAAGAGAAGGGTCTAGAAAGCCTCACTGGGGTGAAGGAAGGAGAGGCGGGGTGGGGACAAAGGAGGGAATCCAGCCTTTGCTGAGAGACTTGGCGCTGGTTTTCCTCCTGTGGGTAGGACAAGGCCAGGATAAGCATGTACTTGAGGGGACCAACAACCCGGGCCACTTGTGCCGAGTCTACACAAACCACCTTCTTCTGTCTTGTCCCCTGGACAAAGGCACCCTGGTTTAGCACTCCCACTCTTTTTCTTTTTTTATTAACTGAATCACCGTGGGATAGTTAAAGAACATTCATAGTTGCGTTTCAGTTATATAATTATTGAACACCCATACCTCCACCAGTGTACATTTTCCACCACCAATGTCCCCAGTACCCTCCCTCCCAACCCCCCTCCCTCTGCCTCTATGGCAATTTCCTTCTTTCTCGCTACTCCTGGGCACCATGGTTTGCAATACAGATACTGAGAGGCCACCATGTTTGGTCCTTCATCTACTTTCAGCACACATCTCCCATTCTGAATGATCCCTCCAACCATCATTGATTTGGTGATTCCTTCTCTATTCCAGCTGCCTTCTCCCCCAGCACATGAAGCAGGCTTCCAACTGTGGAGCATTATTCCCAGCCCTTGTCTCTACTGACCTTGGGTGTTAGTCTCATATTTTTTTATATGCCACAAATGAGCAACACACCCACTTTTGTAAAAAGCACTAACCCACAGGCTGCGTCTGCAGAGCCAAAGGCCAGGCACGGAAGGAAGCTGACAGGAAGCTTCCATGCAAGAACACACCCCTTTTCTCTCAGAGTTCCTACAGCTGCCGGGTCACTGGCCTCCTCTGCCTGATGCTAACTACATCCGACTGGAGCTTTTGCTCCATCCTGCAGCAGGGAAAGGGAGAGAGGGCAGAAGAGAAGGGTCTGTTCTAACCCTTTCACTTAGAGCAAATTCCAGATCCTAAACAGAATGTCTACTCGCTCCTTCTCTTTGCCAGTACTCTCCGATGGATGGCATTTCTAGAAAATGCCGCCTTGTCCAGGAAGCCTTCCTTCCATCCTCAGGGCTGAGAGCCTGGCAACCTTCGTTGTATGACTGAAGCACCTCTTTCACAGTTCCACACCAGCAGGTATTTCTCTGAAGCTATATTCTACCTCTGACTCCTCTCAGTAAGGCAGGGACCATGTCCTGGCCAGTGTCAGTGGCAAGGATGTGTCAAGAACGTACTTGGTGTCAGCAGAATTGGTATCCCAGTTGGTACAGTTTCAACCAGAACATTTGCAAACTGATATTACTCCACACCTGCAGGCCTGGCACTGCTAAAGCTCTAGCCATGGGGCAGAGAACCTACTATTAAGCCTTATTAGGTTTAAGACTCTTGGTTGTTGTCACACTCTTGATTGAATACATCTTCAACTTGTTTCCACTAAGTTTTAAAAGTCACTCCACTGTATTAAGTGTGTGTGTGTGTGTGTGTGTGTGTGTGTGTCCTGCACTTCATTTCTCTTCATTTTTTTCAAGTCAAGGTGAATGAAAGACCTCATCCATAAGAACTTGCAGACTCACTTTATAGTCGTAACCGTCACCTTCACTTTCAACTCCAGCTGAAGAGCACACATCACTTACTTGCATTTAACGAGGCAGCAAAGTTCAAAGATTAAAAAATCAAATATTTAAGAATTACATCAGGAGTTAGAAGCTGAGGGCTCGTGGCCTGGGCGTGTCATGGAATTGCTTCAAGCCTGTATTTCCCATCTGCTCTCTTCCCCTCATTGTTCCTCAGCAGGTTAGGCCCGCAGCTATAAGGTCCCTTTCAAGCTAGAAAGTACTAAAATGTTGTGAACAGAGTTCCATGAGACAACACTAGAAAGCTTGGGAAACTGAATGTGGTCATCAGGTTGCTTGAAAATATGCAACCAAATTCTCTCTGGGTAAGTCTCTGGAGGCACCTGATGGCTCAGGGGATAAACTTGCAAATTTAAAGCTTCAAAAAAAAAAATTTAGGAACTCATTTAGTTGGCAGCCGTCTCACTAAAAATAAACTTTAATGCATTAAGCAGAAGCTTTACTTTGAAGCCAAAATGCACAGTATTACTGGATTACGGAATTTCCTGTTTCCTCATCATAGTCCTACTAATAATATCTAACTCACAGGGTTGTGTGAGATTTCATTTAGTCAACATATGCAGAGTTCTTAGAGCAGGGACAGAGTAAACAGGATGCACGCGTCTGCTATTCTTGGCATCATTTGCCTTTTTAGTGTTGCTGTTGTTATTATCATCGTTTCAGGCATTTGAGAGATGGAAACATACAGGTAGTTCGCCAAGGACTCCTGCACTTGTTTGAAACAAACAAAAAAAAACCCAAAGCAAACCACCCATGATGACCTCACTGGTCTACAAGCTCCTCTGTACCGATAGTTACTTTTCTCGGTTTTGAGTTTCTACATAAGTCAGCTGGGGACAAAGGCACTTGACCCAAAACACAGTGATGATAATTAGACTGCTTTAAAGACTATTTTTGGATTCTCTCTTAGTGCGGTGCTAATGAAACTAGGCTGTTTATTTTTTGAAAGGCAAAGTTAATTTGGAAGCCAGGGAGCCAGCTCAAAAGGCAGGAGCACATGCTCTGCCCGGGGCAGCACAGGTTCAACCCTCCGGTCTTCGGCACATTGGAAGAAACCAAGCAACAAGCTCAAAACAGCCTCCTCCACCCCCAAGAACTTCTGGGACCCCCCAAACTGAAAAAAAAAGCAATAAAAAAGATAAGTTTTTCAAACACATAAACATAAACCACAGTTAAGGTTTGCTTTACCAATGGAACTCTGAAGCCATCCATACAACTTTTCAGGAAAACCACATCTCATGCAACCCAGAGGGCTGCCCAACTGGCTACAGGTCAAGCTAAAGATGTAGCCGAAGCTCAGATAGAGAAGGGAGCACCAAATAAAGGGTGTTGGGAGAATCCTCCCAGGATGGGAGAAGCATGCTGAAAGTAGACTATAGACCAAACATGACTGCCACTCACTGCCTCTTTTGCAAACCACAACACCCAAAAGGAGAGAGAGAACAGAGGGGAATGCCCTGCCACAGAGGCAGGATGGGATGGGGGGTGGGAGGGGTACTGGGATCGTGGTGGTGGGAAATGGGCACTGGTGGAGGGATGGGTACTTGATCATTGTATAATTGAAACCCAAACACAAAATTTGTAAGTCTACAACTGTACCTCATGGTGCCTCACTAATAAATAAATAAATAAATAAATAAATGAAGATGTAGCTGAGCTCAACCCCAAGTAAAGCCTCTGACCAAACAGTGGCTCCGCGTTCGGAGAGCACAACCTGAGCTTTACTGGAGTACTGTATCCTTGATAACAACGCCATATGAATGTGATAGGGGAGGCAGCAGGGACTCCAAGACCACTGGATGAATGGCAAGCAGTGTAAACAGTGTCAACTGACTGGGTTAGAGGGGAGGAAGTGGGTAGAGGGATCCTAAGGAGCTAGCCTGTGTCCCACCCACGAATGTGGGGTCAGCTGACATTTCGTGAGTGATAAAACACCTCTGTCTGGGCTCCCAACTTCACTTCGTTACTTCCTTTCGGCACGGAACTGTCTGAAATGGTCATGACAGCAGAAACCCACCTGTGACAGTGTGCAGGCTCCTGAGGCGGCAAGAACACCCGTTCTGGAGCAGGAGTTTTGTGAGAGATTTTCCACAGGGGTCCTTCCTGGAGGTGTTTGGAAGCCCAGGCCAATCCCAGTGGTGCCACAGCTAATGGCTAATGTAGCCAAAGGGTGGGCGCTCTCACTCTCTCTCTCCCCCCCCATCCCTCCTCCCTCTCTTCCCCTCTCTTTGCCCCTCTCCCTCCCTTCCCCCCATCTCCACTCTGAGCCAGGGTTCTTGATCCTAACTCTTAATTTTTACTGAGAGGGACAGGGTACTTATCATTTGCAAGAACGGAGACTGCTCTACCTTATAAATTTCCGTGGGTTAGAAGCTGTTTATGTCAAGTACTTAAGCTCTGATTGCTTACCAGATATGACGATTACTTTGTTCTTATTAAAAGAATTTCTGAATACCAAAAGTACCAATGCCACAGACACTCTGAAAAGCAAAATACATGCTGCTGACGAATAGAGACTTGGCAACTGAGTACAAGAGATGATCCTACTGGATTCTGTACTGAAGGAGGGAAGAAAATCTTATAATGGGCCTTACTGGGTCAGTGGGCAACTATTAAAATACCTCTCATGGTCAGTAGCCAGGGATCAAAATTATAATCATTGCATCTACTGGTGATACTAAGTTTTTGAAGCAAACGTATAGTGATATGCATTGAGGAACAGAGTCCTAAAGCAGGAGACATTTTTCCTCGAAGGGTTTAAAGGAGAAAAGTAAAAACAACAGAAGCATATGAGGCAAATGTTAATACATAAATTGGAGTGAAAACCAGACAACAGGAAGTTCTCTGGACTTCTCCCAACTTAAAGACTGCCTGGAATACGGCAGGAGCTCCATGAGTGCATCAAGCAACCTTCTTGTTCCCAAGCCTGAGTTTGCCTTCTCCGGTCTCTTCCACAAGGCTCAAGTGCCTATGAAGCACTCACAGTACCACAGCTGTTTCTGTCCCTACTAGGCGTTGGAAGACGCCACACACCCGCCTCCACATTTCTAAGTGCCTATATTTCAAAGCAATTCAATAATGCAACATGTACTCAGATAACTCAAACTGAGAGCAAAGACTCCCAGTTCTAGACTCTGAAGGAACAAATACTTTGTATCGGTCTCCCTCCTAATGTTCACAGAGCAATAACAATCTGAGCTGGACAGATATCCATTGCTTATTTGGACCCACATATCTGATAACAGGTGTTTTAACTCCTGGAATCTCCACTCTCGCCTTGCTCCCTCAGGGATGCTCATCTCTTAATTTTATAGAGGAAAACCTGACGTTCAAGTGTTTTTGCCCAAGAGTTCCCAGCAGGGGAAAACAAAACAAAACAAAACAAAACAAAAACAAAACAGCAGCAGAGACCCCAAACCCAAGTTCTTGCGCCCCCCAGCACTGCTCACCGGTTCTCCATCCTCTCTTGCTTCCCATCACTGCTGGACACTGCACCTGCTCCTGTGCCATGGGTGAAGGGCATCACAAAGTATCCAAAGCCCCTAACTACGTCCTGCCATTTCACCAGGGACTGAAATCAAGCCACCAACTCCATCCTTAAAAACCCAAATGTCATCAGAAGGGTAAAGTGAGCACAGCCCCAAACACCAGAAACACTTAAGAGGTGAATTTGTCCCTATCAGTAGAACCTGAGCAGAACCAATGCAATCGGGTGGGGGGGGGGGGAGGTGGGATGTTGAGGAAAAGAGACGGTTCAAAAAAACCAGCTGTCAGACTGCCCCCTTCAAGCCCCGCTGAAGTGCAAGCACCCACCACCAATTGGGGTGCAGTGCCGGGTGAGTCAGTGCTGGAGACCCAGCTAGATGGGAAATCTCTGTCTTCCGCAAAATTCTGTTTTGGCGAGTGTCAAGGAGCAGCGCTAAGACCGTCTAGGTGCAGCCCAGCAATGAGCAAAGACAGGGATGCCGGGAATGTGTAGCTAGAGATGCAGGCTCTCATCAAAGTCCAGCGAAAGTGCAGCCTGCAGCTGCTGCCCCAGGGAGAAGAAAGGTTTCTAAGCACGCAGGAAAGTGCTTCTCCACTGCCTGGCGGCTGTCTGGACACCAGCTGGGGGCCCTCAACACCTTGGCAAGGGGCCTGGAGGCTATGATCCTGCAGTGACTTGGTTCTCTCCAGCCCGGGGCCACTTTCCGCCTGGCAATCTCCCTGAGCCACCAAATCTACACCTGTAACCACCAAAGGCCAGAGGTAAAGGGCAGCAGGGCACTGACAAGTTACTGGAAGAGCTAGTGGAGGCAGGGGAACTGCAGCTTGCTCTGGAGGGCCAGGACAAGAAGGGTCAACTCCGCACTAGAGAGTGCAGCTTCGCTCTGCCCCCAGTGCCCTAGACCCATGGTTCCACTCCCCTCCGGGGGTCGCCCTCCGGATGGGGTCGTACTAAGCATAGGGTGTGGCCCTGGTGCAAGGGCCTATGGAGACGTGTGGGGCCCGGGGGACGACGCGGACAACTGTTCTTCAAGGTTCAAGTACCAGGACATCCTCCAAAGGCGTTACTTGCCCAGGCTGCACCTCGCCAGTCCCGACGTCTCCAGCCTCACCCTAGCCTCTAATTGAGCCATCCCGTTCCCCTTATCTGGCCCAGACGCTCATCATCTATCAAGACACTCATCTGCAAGGGAAACCGCCACCGAGCCCGGCAAGATTCCCCAGCGAAAGTTTCTCCAAAGACCTAAACGGGCACCTAAGCAGGCCGTGCACGGGGCCGCCTCCAAATGCACGCGGTGCCTCCTCCCTGGGGGAGCAACGAGGGGCAACACCTGCGATCCCGCCCCGCCAGCCGGCCCCGAGCAGACCCCAACCCCTGTTCCCCCCAGTCCAACGGAGTAACGGGGTGGAGCCTGCACGACCCCCCTCCTCCCCACTGCCGTCCTCGGGGCGTGCCTCCCCGCAGGCAGCACGTTTCCTGTCAAAACAAACCCGGGGGAGGGGGTGGCGGGGGAGGGCCCAGCGGAGGCCGCGCCGCGGAAACCTCGGCAACCCGCACCCAAACAGCCCGCCCGGCGACAGGTGCCCCCCTCCCCGGAGCCCGGGGGGACAGGGCAGCCGAGGACCGCGCCGGCGCTGGCACCCGCCCAGCGCGATGTAAACAAAACGGCCCGGGCCGCGTCCCCTCGGCCGCTCCGGGCCCCCGAAGCTTGCGGCCACCGCTTGGCAATCGCCACCCCCCACCCCCAGACTCGCTTCCACGCGGGACGGCGGTTCGCGGGAATTAAGGGGGGGGGGGGAGAGGTGGAAGGGGAGCGGGGACTGCACCGCTCCGGGCATCCCGGAAGGGGACGGCGGGCAGAGGGAACTTGCATCGCTCCGGGGGCAGCCGGGGACCGAGTCCCCAGGTGGGTCGGGGAGGTTCTCCCGCTGTCCTCCGGGGCGAGGGGTTCCCCCCCCACTCCTCCCGCCCCCGCAGCTCGACAGGGCCCGTCACCTCCCGGCCCCCACCCCGCGCCGGGATGGATACACACCGAGCTGGGCGCGGAGCCCCGAGTGGATGTGTCCTCGCCACGCAGCGCAGCAGCCCCGAGCAAGTTCCCCAGGCCCCCACCCCTCAACCTCTCGCTCTCCAACCCCCCCACCCCACGCGGTATTTAAAGGGCCGGGAGGGACTCCGGGGAGACAGCCAGGACGCCGCCACCGGGCAGCCGACCGCGGGGTGGGGGGGTGCGCAGAGGACGCGCGGCCGCGGGAGCAAGGCAGGGTGCTAAGAGCACTGGGGGCCGGGCACCCACAGCCTCGGCCTCTCAGCCAAGCAGTGTTCGTCCAGGACGCAGCGAGCTGGACGCTTCGGGGGCTCTGGGCGGGATGTGCGGGAAGGACCGATCCCCCCCCGGCCGCGGGCGGCGAGTGCGGCGCTCCGGAGGCTGCTGGGGGCGGGGCGAGAAGTGTTTACGGAACTGCGGCGACGGCGCTGCCGGGAGAGCGAGGCGCTGTGGGCGGGGCCTATGGAATGTGGGCGTGTTGGGGGCGGGGCAGGGGCGGGACGAGCCGCCGGGAAGGCCGCTGAGCGGCGGGTGGAGGAGCCCTGCGCTGGGCTGGGCGTGGGACTAGGCGCTGTGGGCGTGGTCTGTGATATGTGGGCGGGTCGGAGGCGTGTCGGGGCAAGTCGGGCCTCCAGGAAGGTTGCTGAGAGTCTGGCGGAGGAGCCCCGTGCAGGGCGAGGCGCTAGGTTGCCGTGGGCGGGGCCTATGGGCTGTGGGCGTGCCGGGCCGCCAGGGAGGCCCCTGAGGGTCTGGCGGAGGATTCTGCGCTGAGGTTGGACCGGGGCGCCAGCGCTGAATGAAGATGCACTAGCTTGTGCTGAGTTTACCTTTCTTGTCCTGGCCCTCCTTAACTAGGTGCAATTCTGACTAGATCTCTTGGAAACCTCACACCCCTCAGCTAGACTGTAAGATCCAAATTAGGGATCCACTCAGTAGGTGACTTAACCCAGCTGTACAGCACTTAGCCCTGGATTCAGTACCAAGCACTGCTGAAGAGCCTTACAAAACCGCACAATGTACACATTGGGGAACCACCATGACACCGTCCGTCCTCCCACACAGAGACAACACAGACAATACCGCCCGTGGGAAAAACACACCCCACGCGTGTCAGCAATCAGACATGTCTCCTGGGTTGTGTCGGTGGCACCTCCCAAGAACCCTGGACTAGATTTGCATCTGGCTGGTCTAGGAGATTAGCTTCTAGGAGTGGGACCCACCCAGGGTTCCAGATGAGGTGAACTTGGTGTGCATGCAAAAGATAAAGCTGCTTACTTCCTCTAGGGTTCTTGGCAGAGCAGACCTCTAGAAGTTTCCACTATGTTGATGTAAATAGCCACCCGCAGTGCTGGGGTCTGCCTTCCATGCTCTGTGACTTCAGGCCTCCTGTTCATTTCTTGCAAGTGTCTTATCAGGGGATTCAATACATACTTTCCCACAATCGTGCAAGTGACACCATGATCATTCTGCCAGGGGCAAACTGGTATTACTTAGGAAAGAATTTCTTGCAGGAGTATAAGTGAGTGTTATATTGGCTGAGGATTTTGTTTTGTTGTTTTTGTAGTGCTGAAATCCTATCTGGATTGCGGAGGCAAAATTTGTTCTCGAAAATAAAATCAGATGAACTAAATGACAGTAAGACGTTTATGCCAGATGGAATAGTAGCTCAGTGTTTGGGCTCTAAAATTGATTACCCATGAGTTTCTTGGTCAACGAACTTAATGGTGTTAATTTCTTGGATTACTGAGAGGATGGAATGAGATAAAGGATGTGAAAACGCTTACAACTATGTGCAGAAAGCACTCAATCAGTATTCCCAATTATTCAAACTATTTGGCAAGCCACACAGCACCTACTTGGCAGACGATCTAAACAAACTTGTATTTCTGTCTCTTATGCCACTCTCTCCTCCCTTCTCCTAAAATATACTAGATACAGATCAAAAGATAAAGGAGAAAATTCGGTTGAGACCTTGGTTCTTTCCTCTGATCAAGCCCTTGTTTGTCTCTTTTGTTGGAATCAACAATCAGAATGACAGATGCCTTCAATTATCATTATTGCCAAATCACCAGCACCACACAACAAATGTCCTACATCACCAAGCAATAGAATTCTAAAAACTCCACAGTACAACAACTACCCAAAAATATCCCCAAACCTCTGGACAATGTGACAGTGACACATTGCAGCTTTGTTTCCTTTGTCAGCTCTGCAGGCGCTTGTTAAATATTGTTTTGCACTGTGACATAAACTAGAGCCGGTGAACATGAGTCAGACCACTTGGCGAGTCGACCTCTAGGACCAGCTACTTGAATCTCAAATATGCAACTCCCAAAGCCACAAGGAAGCAATTTTTGGCCAAAGCAGGTGAGTCACATTTCAGAATGTGCTGGGGAGGAATCTGGAGGTGGGCAGGTAAGGCAACTTCAAAGATCCCAGCCAGGGAGAGGAAGTGTCCTAGAAATGCATCCCTTTCTGTGATTTTTCTGGGCCATACTCTGAGGTGCTCAGAGCTGACCCCTGGGGCTGTGCTCAGAAATCACCCCTGGGAATGCCTGGGGGATTCTAATCAAGGCCATAGGCAAGGCAAATGCCCTAACCCCTGTACAGTATCGCCAACCCACACAATCTTCTGTTCACATGAAATAACCATTTGGAACCCTTTGGTCAAATGCCTGACCAACTGTCCTCAGCTTGATTTATGTATAAAATCATCTGGGGAAAAATGCATAGTGCTGTATAACATTAGGCAATTTCCCTTAAAAGATCTTGGATGATTCTTGCTTACAGAGCTTAGGTACTCATAAAAAAAATTTTTTTTTCTGTTCAGATTATGACTCTGGAAATAAAACTCTATAAAGTAATAAGCTTTTTATTAAGGAGAACATTATCACTCTTGATTTTTTAACTCTACTTAGAGGATTCATGAAATTGTACTTTGACTCTGCCTTATAAATTAAATAAGAAATTACATTTGATCTGGTGGCTTTGAAAAATGCCTGATGACAGATCCAAAGTTGTTTTTATTGTTGTTGTTTTGGGGCCGTTCCCAACCATGCTCAGGGCTTACTCTTGGCTCTGTGCTCTGGGTTTGCTTCTGTCAGTGCTTGGGGGACCATATGTGATGCAAGGAGTGGGACTGGAATTTACTACATCCAAGGCAAACACCCTCTCTCCTGTACTATCTCTATGGCCTCAAAATGTCACTGTTACTGCCCTCCCGTTGTTCATCTATTTGCTTGAGCGGGCCCAGTAACGTCTCCATTGTGACACTTGTTACTGTGTTTGGCATATCAAATATGTCACGAGTAGCTTGCCAGGCTTTGCCGTGTGGGCGAGATACCCTCCGTAGCTTGCCGGATTCTCCGAAAGGAGCGGAGGAATTGAACTCTGGTTGGCTGGGTCGGCCGGGTGCAAGGCAAACGCCCTACTCGCTGTGCTATCGCTCCAGCCAGACCTCAAAATGTAATTTGAAAAATTTATTTTTGGTTTTGGGGCCACACCTGGCACTGCTCAGGGCTTACTCCTGGCTCTGTGTCCAATGATCACTCCTGGATGGCTCTGGGAACCATATGGGTGCCGGGAATCAAATCTGGGTCAGCCACATGCAAGACAAACACCCTATCTACTGTACTATGGCTTTGGCTCCTCAAAATGTAATTTTTTTTTTTTTTAGAGTTTCAACCTATCACCATTGAACTGACAGAGTGGAAAAGCATCTTGTGCTGATCTAACATAATGCAAATTCAACTCCGTGGACAGGGTAGGAACACACGAGGCCTGGAAACACTGCTGTGGGCAGAGCCTCTCACTCGAGGGCAGAGGGAAAGCTGCTCTTCTTGAGTTTCTCTTGGTTTCCAGGATTCTCATTCTGTTCTTATTCTCATTCTTGCCTTAGGTGGTATTCCGGGTGTGGAACTTGTGCACATGTGCACCTGACCCTCCACTTGGGGTCTCTGCTGCCAAAAGTGAAATTCTTCAAAAGTTTCAAACTCGGGGCTCCAGTCTACACTTTCATTTTGCATTTAGGAAGCTAGTCCTCATGTCACCACCAGAAGACAGAACTCTAGTCTTGAAAGGTACTTGTTTTCTCTTAACCTGTTCCCAAATGCAAATCACTTGGTTTAGCTTAACTCAGTTTGAAGAAACATGCCTATCTCAATGTTGTAGGCCAAAAATAAAAAAATGAACTAGGTGTATCCCAAAGGGTAACGTTGACTCCATATACATTTGACCTCTGGCTCTTTCTGAAAACTTTTCCCCACCCACAAGGCAGGAGGCCATTCACTGTATGTAGAAACAATAATCAATGGGATCTCACTTCTTTTTTTTTTGTCCCCTGACCATGCTTAAGGGGTTAAGAAGGGCTAAAAGGAGCAGGGGCAGAAAAGACAATGACAAGTAGGAGGAAGAAAAAGTTTGGCTAATCCTCACAGTAGATATTCCATCTCTAAGTATCCAAAATTCATTCACAATTGAATTTGTCATTCCTTTTCTTTCCATTTTGAAGATAAGATTGACTTTGAGCTTAATAAATTTTGACTGTTGATCAAAATGTTGATGTCTTAACAAGTCCCCAAGGCACCACAAGTTGTTTTCCCCCTAATTCCACACTGAACTGAATCAGTATCAGAATTAGTTGCTATACACCTGGAGATAGTTCCAGATCCAAATCCCTTGTATATGAAAAAGAAAATCATTTTTAGCATCTCCCCCTCACTTTTCCAGAATCCCCTCCACTTACCTGGAAACTTGCTGTTGTCTCCTGGAAAGCAAGGAAGAGAGTGAGGATGGCAGGCAGGGAGAACAACTCTGGGCAGGAAGTGGGAGGAGCCAAGGAGAGTTGAAGATCAAAAGAGCATCCATGAGAGGCCAAAAAGGTGATGGTCAGAGTCCTGGCCAGGATTTACTCTCTCTGCCTGACCTCTGGGCTCGTAGGTCATTGTTTTCTAAATGCCTTTGCAGTTCTACACAACCATGAATGATTATTTATGTTCTCACTTTAAAGAACAATGGGAGTACCCAGTAGGATGCACCAGGTAGTTATAAAAAT